TTTTGGTGTAACAAATAGTTATAAATTTTTGTAAGATGGCGACTTCACGAGATCAAGATCCCACAAGAACAAGAATTCTGAATTCTGTAATGTTACATATAAAACGAAATATCATGCAAAAATAATTGGTGAAAAATCTCGAAGAAAAAAATATAAATAAATTATTGCTAATTTTTTAAATATTTTTATATAACTAGACACTATACGTATACTTTAAGAAAATGTACTATACAAACATAAAAGTTATGTTATCATACAATTTGTGCCGATTATCACAGAATTGTCAATCGTTTAAATGATTCATACATCGAGAAAGAGAAAATTGATGAAACATACATTTCAATATGTCGCGAATTACAAGAATAATTTCACTGATTCTTAGGAGTCGAAGTTTCGAGAATTCTGTAGAATCGATATGCTGTTCGATAACTTCGACACTTATTGCTAATTCAAATCTTCAATCGAATATACAAATTTTTTAAATTATTTTTCATAAAATTCAACGAGAAAAAAATATATACGTACATCTTATTTATAAATAACTGTACAAGTAAAATACGGATTCACAAATAAATTTTGTTATTCTTAAAAATATATATAGCTCAAATATAATTCTAAAAATAAAGCATAGAGAAAATATTTTAGTTAATTTCATTGTAGTTTCTCTCTAGTTCTCTCTTTAGTTATTCTGAAAATGTTAACGTGAAAATGTTATCATGATAAAAGTTTCCTAACTTCCTTTATCGTTATTACGACAAATTCAACCTTTTTAAATACGAGATCCTTAATACCCGCTATAAATTGTGTGGTCGAGTAGTTAAAAGCTCATTTCGAAATTACTATAATGTGCGTGCATGCATTAGAGAAATTAAATGAATAATATATATACGTCTAAAATCTCGGAGAGAGAAGATATTTTTCGTATCCTCTTTCTTAAGCTTTAAATACAAATATAAAGGAATATTCTAATCTAAATGACCATTTTTTGGCACGTAAAAAAAAGTATACATTAATAATTTTTATATTGATTATATTGATTTTTTTTTAATATTTTTTTTAAGTTTGAATTTTTTTTAAATTTATTATCATCAATATAAAAGTTGCTCTATTTGCATAAACAATTTGAATATCTATGGCGTAAATAAAATATTTATTTTTTTTTTATTCTAAAAAAGTTCGAATATTTTTCAAACTAGATTAAATAACACAAAATAATGTTGTTAACATAGTGTCTTTTTATATTGCCAATAATTCAATTTTAATTTAAAAAATAACAAGATCTTTATATTTTTTTATATGCGTATTAAAAACGCATATTTGAAAAGTATCAAGAACCGCCAATTTGAAAAATGCCATTTTGAGCAAAATTTCTCTTCATTTAAGTCTAATTTATTGCAAATTCACATATATATCAAATGTATTATAATATATTATGCAAATATTTTAAAAATATGATCCAAAATTAAAATTTTTAATCTTCTAGGTTAGAATATTCCCTGTCATCGATTATTAACTTTCGTCAATTTCACTATTATTTGCAATAAAAAGATTTTTTCACTGTCTTTTCGGTATTTTGAATTGTATATATGTAGCATTTGCTTTATGTACATAAGGAGCAAAGTGCAATAATATGAATTTTTTTTAATATATGTATGTATAATCATTATAATCATACCATATACATACATATATGGTATGGTATCACTCTGCTCCAGAACCTAATTTGAACTACTTTACATAATAAATCTGTTGTTCGAACGGCGCAAGGTGACGTACAGCCTAATTCATGACAGTGATATCGTGCCAAATGGCCGACATCAATTAAATAAAGATTCTGACACATGTCAAGGTTGACTCAATATTGCATCTCATCAGCGCATCATGCTCTGACATCGAACTACAAACTACACACTACTTTACATAAATCGTTCTAGATCAGCCACGAATTAATCGTTCGTTGGAAATCGAACGCGATTTTATATAATAAGTTTTAATAATAATAAGTTATGTACAAGCTTTCTATAAAATCATTTACCGAGGTGAACAACAAGTGGATACAATTTATTATTATTTAAATGTATGTATTAATCTTTTGTATATATTTGTGAATATACAAGATATTTCGAGATGAAAATTTTGATTAATTGTTTGGAAAAAATTTTGAACAAATAATATTATATAAACGTACATTTATAATACACGTTCTATTTGTAATTATCGCTATAAAATTTTTAATAATTGTTCGAATAATAATGTAACTTTAATACAGTTATGCAATTATTTCTTCTGTAATTTAATAATATGAAAATATAAAATTAATCTATTAACGTCAATATGAAAATTTATAATACGATATAATTCAATTCAAAATATTACAAAAATTAAAATTTATTTATATTGATTATATTTGTATGATTAAATGAAGAGCCTAAAATGTATTGTAAAATTATCGATTTATCATAATCGTAATAGTCTCAAATTATTACAATAATATTCAGATCGATAGATAGATCTTTCAATTTAAACATTATGCAAGCAATTTGATAAACATATATAAATTGAAGAAATACTTCGTTACTGATATTATTTTTATTAAATACATAACGAATTTATTACGATTTTTATAAATGATTAAATTTTCCTAACCTAAACATAAATATTGAAAATAGAATTCTTTTATGTAAAATTATTATATTATTTAAATTTCCAAACAAAAAATCAAATAATTATCACATCTTTTTTTAAATCTCTTGTACATTATAAAATGAACTATTTTTGCGATTGTCTCTTAAGACAATGTACTAATATAATAATACATATATAGCAGTATATATTTTATCTATGTGCATCAAATAGCAGATAGTTATAGATATAGAAACTCGTTTAATTTTGAAATATATTCAGATCAAATAAAATTATAAACGAATATCATCATAAAAATAGTTAAGAATATAAGAAATAAGTGATTCATTAAAGATATTCTGTTAGATTTAAATCTATGGATCATCATGGATGAGATGATGCCAATGACAGATACATCATAGTATCTTTAATACATCACTTGGCACGGATTTTAATGTTTGGTGTCGATCAATTAATTCATAATAATTCGCAATTATTTCTATATAACGAGTATAAACGCTTGATTTTGTATTACAATGGAATCATCAAGATATGTTTGATTGTATGCGATTTGTTTTTTATATGCTTCTGAACACTTGAAAACTGAATTTAATGATCATTTCATGTATTCCAACAAAGGAATTTTGCTTAATAGTTTATTGTAAATGTATACAGAGAAACATAGATGATTGTATGTTATCAAAAAAATATTAAAAACAATGTAAAAGAATAAAAATTTCTTATATGAAAATACATGCCATGTAAATACATACATTTTTTTTAAGAACATGATGATGATTTTGTTCATCTGTTGTCCTTTTAGCGTTATATATAATGTCAAGGATTTATAAAACTAATTCCAGTAACTATAGCAGTGTGCTTTATCACAAATATTCTTTTTTCTTATTTAATATTTTGTGTGAAATATTAATGCGAATACCTTTAAAGAGAACATGAATTTGATTATAAAATTTAATACAAATAGTTATTTGAATTATCTTCGTCAATTTGCTCCGTGATTTTTGGACGTAACACATTCATGCTTTGGTCAAGAATATATGTATGTCATAAGATAATTATAGATTTCTGTTTGAATATCCTCGTCTATTTTCATTGTAATTATCGAAATGCCAATCGAAATGCCAATCGTATTGCACTTAAAAACTTGTATGCTACATATATAAACATAAACAATAATCATATTCATAACATAATATTGCTATAATCCATGTATTATGTAACTATCAATAATTTATTTCTTTTTTTTTTTTTTTGGTGCATAAAATTTCTTTTCTTCATTTTTATATAATATGCGATTCCATGTATTATCCAAACATAAAATATATTGATGTTATTACAACTGTACAATAATGAATAATATTTCTACTTTATCTTAAATTATTACGTACATTTATTCCATGAACGTATCCTCATTAAAGACGAAAGACACGTTAATGTAAATGCATCCTACATGCTAACAATGCGTCAAATAGTCCGACGTAATAATGATAATATTTTAAAACAGATAAAAAAAAAAGATTTATAAAACGACTAGAAATAATTACCGACTAGATTTCTCACTTTGTAAAGAACTTTCAAAAAAACAATTTATAATTTATAGATAAATTAGTTATTCTTAATTTATAGCTAACATGTCACAATTCTTTACTTTATGCTAATACTAATTCTTTCCTTATTTAAATTGAGACATAGAAATTAAATATGAAATTCCATTATTCTAAGTTTTTATATTGAATATTGTTTGTATGTAGGATACATATTTGTCTTGTATCACTACAAGTTTCCACTACCTAAAAGGCCATTAAAGATTTTTTTTCTCATTGCCTGGGAAGATACCAGTGCCATACTTTGGAAGCGCTAGATTTTTTAAAATTTTTTTTTTTTTATCTTTTATTTTTAATTGTGCTTTTTCATATAAGAACTATTGAAAGATGACTTATAATAAATATAATAAATAAATCATTAATGACTAAGAAATACTAGGATAAAAATATCTTAAATTTTTGCATTATGCAAAGCATACATTGAATAAAATGAGTATTATTACATCAAAATTCTTAATAATAATGCTAATAAATAAAAAAGATATTGTGCTTTAAACTGTGTATCCACCAAATATATAAAATATTTTTTATAAATATAATAAAGAAAATCTATTTAAATAATATTTAATCAAATAAATATGTGTCAAATAAATATTTTTAAAAATATTTTTAAAAATTGAGATTCGATAAATATAGAATTATTCAGCTTAAGTTAAAAAAAATTATAACAATTTTAATATGAATTTTATATTTGCTTTTTTTTTAATGAGACAATTTTTTTAATATTTGATTTTATTAAATTTTTGATTTCATTCATAATATATAATATAATATATAAATATTTACAAATAATATTAATAAATATTTACCAATCAGTGGATACTCAGTTATATATAATATATAATATTATTTTCTTTATCATTTTTGGCAATAGCACTTCCAGACAGTGGCAGTAGGCACTTTGATGACAATAAAAAGATAATAATGAGTACAAAATATTATAAGTTAATCCACCTTTAAGGAAGGTAAACCATTTCCAACAATCAATTGCTCCTTGGGAAAATCTAGAATTACGGTCACATGAAAACCCATATTTGCAGAAGCAATCACATATTCACATAAGGAAAACCAGCTAAATGCTATTAAAAAAAAGATTATAATAGATTTTATATATATTTTATACATATTATTACAATTAAGTTTAATTAAAAAATATAATTTTTCTTACCTAGATCATGACATAATAACCTGTGTTTTAAGAAGAAAATAATAAGTCCAACTGTACTAACAAGACTAGTTATAAAAAGTGCCTGTTTGTACTGAAGACTTTGTGCATTTGGTGTTATGAGACGACCTAATCTCACTGCTGTTAACATATATGTTAAAGAACTAATCATAAAGGCAATGAAAATTTTTTCATGCACAGCTAAAAAATAAATAATATTTATCAATTTCTATAATTATGAATTATAGAATTAATTATATTATTAAAGTAATACTATAGTTTTAATTAATATATATTATATTATATTAGTACTCACAATAATTTTCTCTGTTAGAAATATATGTAACACCACATAAAGCTGCCACTTCTGCAATACTTAACCAATAACATAGATTTAAAAGTCTACATCCCATGATTTTAGATGGTACATCTTCAATTGTCTTGAGTATTTTATAATAATATGAATGATATACACTAGCAATAATTAGACGAGGACCTATATGTAATGCTATACTTATGCGCCATAAATATCTTTGAGGAGATATACCAGTAATAGCTGAGATTGATGGAAGTACATTATAAACCTAAAAGTAAAAATATTTTAAAAAATAATAAATTAAATATATTTAAAATAATTTAAATAATTTAAAAAATAATAAATATATATATTTTACATACTCTACAATGTGTTTCATGAATATCATCTTGTTGGAAGATATATGCAGTAATAAAACACACTAAAAGTGTAACAAGAGGTAAAGATACCGTTGCTATACATAATTTTTTGAATGATATTGCCACATGTATGGAACTTTTATTGTTTCCTACATTGTTTAATTCCATTGTGAAATTATGTAATAAAATTTGGCATTTAAGCACAAAATAAAAAGATTTAAAGATATAAAATCTAAATCAGTCTACATTAGGATCATTTGCACCTTTCAATTTTTATTAAAAATGTTAAAAAGTTTCTTTAAAAATTTCATAATATGCCTGTAACAAAAAATGTTACATTAGTAAAATGAAAAAACATTATAAAAATGTATTAAAATATAATCTATATTTTATTTTATTCCCATATATTATTTTATAACATATCATATATATCATTACTATATAAAATTCACACTATAATATTTATTAGAATATTAAACAGTATGATCAGTATTAGTACATTAAGTATTAGTACATTACAATTATATATTCATCAAAAGTTTTATTTATAATAAACATGTTATTTATTATGTATTTATTTCATTTTTTATTAAATAATTAAAACAAATATGTTATATTAAAACGCATTTATGAAATAAAATAAAAATATTTTTCCAAAAGCAATCAAAACTGCAATATATTAAATCTTTGTTTATAAATTTCATACACAAAATAACAAACATATTTAACTTAATTACTCTATTTTCAGAATTGATTTTGTGGATAACCTACTTTTTCTATTTATAGCAAACAAAGGCACTGTCACGGGTAACACGATGTTCGTGACATTTGCCTGGAAGTGATTTATTATCACATTTAACACTTTTGCACAGAATTTATAACTATGATTGAATTTTATTTATGTTATAAATTGATACGAAATTTTATTAATTAATTAAAAACTTGCCAATAAATATTTTCTTTTTATCTTCTTTTCTTTAAATTATATGAGATACTTTACTAAAATGGTTATATCTATGTAATAGATTTAACAGTTAGGTTGTTAACTGATTTAACAAATAATTAAAATCTTATTTCTTGTTTAAAATAGTAAAAATGTTTCGAAATTCAAATCAGTATAAAAGATAAACAGAATATATAATATATGCGAACAATTAAATAACTTTCCAATAATATATATAAAAAAGAAAGAAATTTAATAGCATGTCACAATTTCGAATGAATAATAATTTATTCAAATTAATATTCTGTTAACAATGATTTGTTCATTCATATTCATTTATGATCTTCATGCAGAAAATCGAGAGAATTTACCTTATTCCTTGTGTATAAACGTATCGTCTGCTAGTTTGTGAATTTCTGTTCAAAGAAATGCCATCTATGGTCTGTATAAATGTTTCTAATGCATGTATTTCATATTAGCGCCAACTTCAAATTTTTTTCATTTTTAAAAAAAATGAACTTATGAATCAATTATCTAAAAATTATTACACTAAAAATTAAAAAAATAATAGATAAACTATAATAAAAATTAAAGCAAAAATTAAAAAAGGGAATAACTTATAAATTGTAAAATAATTTGTAATTTTATTAAAAATATAATTACAATTATCCTAATTAAAGATCTATTATATTCAAACTCTTTCACGCGGTTCTTCCTCCATTTCGTATTCAATTTCGACTTTTGGACGGGTTTTCTTTTGTAATTTTGCTTTCTTGATAATTGATTTCTTTGCTTTTTTATCTAATATAGATACTGTATCCTATAATAAAACAATAATTTTAGAAAAAATTGAATTATAAATAAGAATAAATATAAATTATATAATATATAATATTCATTACTTCAATATCACTCGTGTCAGATATAAAATTGTCAGACAATTCGATTTCCTCTTTATGTCCTGAATCACTATCCTGATCCTGTTAATAAATCAATTAATATATATACATGTATTAAGAGAATACAAAAAATTACAATCTATATTTAAATGAAGAACATAAATTACCATAGATACTTTTTCAATATTAAAATCATTGTCATCATCTTCTTCATCAGTTTCTGCTTCTACAAAATAAGGTTCATTTGTTTCTCTTTCTCTTTCATCTGCTTCCAATTGTAATTCTACCTCTCTCTCAATTTGTAGTTCTTTTTCTTCTTCTTCTTCTTCTTCATTTTCACTTTCACCTTCAACTTCTACAGCTTCTACAGCTTTGTCAAATACTTTTTGTGGAAAATTGTAAATATCATTATACTGAAAAAAAAAAATTATAAGTTTCTTAGACTCATTTAGACTCATTAAACTCAAAAATACTTATATAAATAATTATAATAAAAAAAAATATTTACCATGCCTTGTTTTAATCTCTCCATTAATTGTTTTTCTATTGATTTTTCTAATCTTGCAGCTATAAGAGCTTTTTCTTCCCTACGTCTTTCTCTTCTTTCAATTTTCCTTTGAATTGGTATAATTTGTTTTTGCCTTCTTAATCTTATTTTTCTCATACGTATGAGATATTGTGTAATTTTCACAAATCTTTGTTTACATTTTGCTTTTAAAAAACCAGGCCAATAGAGCAAATTTTCATTAATTTGATGTATTGCTTTTTCAAAATTCCTAGATAGCTTTACCTTTTCCCATGCATTTTTTGGAAAGTGTACTCTGAAAAAAATGTATGTTATAGTTTATTACATAATTTTTAGAAAATTTAATTTCTATTATATTATATTATAATTTATATTATATTATAATTTATATTATATTAAATAATAAATTTTTACCTTTCCGCTGTTCTCATATATAAATAAATTATACCATTTTCTTCCCTAATTGTTGCATATTGACTATTTGCAAGAGGACATGATGCTCTACTGCATAATCCCGTAAGATTATATTCGTTACGACAAAACTTCTGTGTTTTAGTACTACAAAAATGAAGTATAACATTAAATTATGAAAAATTATTTTTGTATTTTCCAATTTATACGTACTTTACTTTGAAAGAACAAAAAGATTTATTAATAACACTCCATACAACCTACAACAATTTATTACATAAAATATCAATATTTAATATAAATATAAATAATATACTCACATCGTCGTGTTGCATTTTGTCTTATATTTTATAAATATATTTTATAAATATTATATAAAAAACACACGTGTTTCAAAGATTTTTTAACATTATAGGTTATATTGAATCTGCTAATTAAATGGAACACTGTGTGACATCTAGCGGTAAATTGATAAAATCTTAGAAAGAAAAAAATTATGAGAGAAAGGTAGAATAAAAATTGTGAAATCAGCATTATCTCTAAAATCAAAATGAAACCAAAAACAAAGATAGAGAAAAGAAAGAAAAACACAAAAAAACAAATAATAAAAAAAAGACAGAGATAAAATAGAATTGATTTTTGCCATCTTTTGAATAAATATTTCAAAAATATTTTTTTGAAAATACAATATTCGATACAATAAGGTACAATATTTAAGAAATGATGTTGACAGCTAAGTCTTATGCCATTTCTATTCTTTTTCTGGATGTGTTATCCTTTCTTATCTTATATCATTTATGGCACTCTAAAGATGGCGCTGATTCCTTATCTCTGTTTTTTTCCTATTATTTGTTCTCCTTATATATATTTATTTCTGACATGTAAACGTAAAATACGAGATGTCATTTAAATATATTTTCTTAATTTTTCTTTCAAAATTATAATATATTTAAAAAAAAATAAAATAAATATAGTCTTGTTATCATTTTTATGTAATTTAATTATATCTATTAGTAATATATATACAATATATTAAATTCAAATATAATTAATTAAAAAGGTGATATAATACCCATTATCTCCATTACTGCTAGATCAAAAGATCTAAAAAAATTTTAATATATTTTTATCATTTTATTATTATCAACATAAATCAAGACAATAACAAGTTGCATAAACTCACTTGGAATTAAGTTGATCACCTGGAATGTAAAATGGATTACATACAGCATTAGAATAAGCTGCATGTAATTTCTTAAAAATCTGTAAAATATAAATCATTATCATAAATTTAATATTAAATAATTGAAAAAAACTTACCACTTTTACATCATTATCTCTCAGAGATATGTTTGATGAATGTAATACAATAATAAATTTGATTTTTGTATTTGTGACATAACCATATCTGCAATTGAAAAGTGAAATATTTTGCATAAAATATAATTCATTTTTAAATTACAATATATATTATATGTACATTTTATATTCTTCTGTAGCATATAATAAGCCTAAATATAGATCTCGTATATCAATAGTAGTTTTATTTCCTACGTTTAATTTTTCTTCTATAATATCAATTGATGTATGAACTTTGCAATGAAATTGTAATGCTGATGATTCATCTATACATCTAATATATTTAGGAGAATTCTGTAAATAAGTTTGAAATATATTTTATATTATAGTATGTGCATTATTAATTATATCATTTATTAGTTATTATTATTTTTAGCTTTTTGTTCACTATAACCTCAAAAGATGAAAAACTATATAATTACGTCTTTTCCAATTACAGCTACACAAACTGCCATATTTATAAGTCTTATAAACTTAAAACATTATTATCCGTAACAAAATATAAAAATGTTTAATACACAAATTAAAAACTGCAATATTTGAGAATTATTTTACACATAAATAATGTTTAAACTTCATAACTTCATAGGTTATATACTATTATATACTGTCATATCTAACAATCATAATACTAAGATTTAATTATAAAAATATATATGTATTTATTAATAAAATTATTAATTATATAATATACTATGAAATATTACATGGTCTTAATAAAATCATTAAGAGATTTTATGTGAAGAAAATAAAATATTTGAAGAAAATAAAAAATTTCTACTTAATTTTTTAAAATAAAAACAATTAAATTAATTGAAAAATAAAGTTTTGAATAAATTTTTTATTTTTATTTTATATTCAAATATAATAATATAAATATAATATATTAGGGTTTTTCATAATATCTTTTCTTTAATGTCCTATACTTGCGTAACATATATAAAGCTTCTAGTTCTTTAATAACAAAATCACCATGAGCCAACATTTTATCAATTTTTTCAGGATCACGTTCTTCTTTATTTTTTTCAAAAACTTTCCTTACATTTTTTCTAAAAAATTCATAACCTCTTGGATAATCTCGACCCATATACAAGAGCTAAAAACATTGATATAAATATTATTATATATATAATAATAAAAGATATATCTAAATATTATATTTTTTGTTATTTATTATATATTTTATAATTACTATTTTATTTTAAAACAATATATTTCGTTTTTTAATAATAAAAATCAAATTGAAATACATATTTTATACCGTCTTGTATAAATTGATGACTTTTGTACGTTGAGACATCGAAACAATTATATTTAAATATTTTATCAATCAATCAACTGTGTTATGTAGTTATTATAATAACATATGTATGTACATAATGTTAATATTTCATATATAGATATTATAATATTAATATAAACAACAAATTTTTTTATTAAAAATAATTGTTGTTACACATGCAGATATACATACATAAACTTTACTTATCTATAAAACATATATTCTATCTCTTTAAACGGTGCTTTATGTGTATAGTTATATGTTAACAAAGTACTTTGGCTTATATAAGGAAACAAAACTAACAAGAAAATCGTTATTAATTAGAAGATTTAATAAACTTAAAAAAATCATATATTGCCGCGATGTATTGCGCAGTCGTAGTATCATATCATTATAATTACAAATTCAAAATTTATGTTTTTATTAAAAAATAGTTTTTTTTAACTGAGATACATTTCATGTCATAAAATTAATTGTTCATGTATTTCTAATTTCAAATCACAAATCTGACTCATTCTAAAGATAATTTAAAGATAATAATAAGTATAAATGTCAATTTTATATTCGCAATTATATTTTTTAAATCATTTTCTTAATATTTCTAAAATATTTTATATTTTCTTTTTATTTTAAAAAAAAAAAATAAAATATTGTTTATATATATATATATATGATTTTAATTACATCTATAAATATAATTTTATGTATTATTAGTCTTTATTGTAAAACATGAAAAATAAAAATTCATATGAAAAATAATTTTCTCAAGTTAAATCACTTATTGTCTATAATCAAATGCAATTCAAAATAAGAGATTTTATAATAAAATCTAATGATATATGCAAAATGAAATAAATTATTAATTATAAACATTAAATTTTTTATGAAATATATATATGAAAATTATTACAAAGTAATAATCAATATATATAATATTTAATTTTAAATAATTAAATAATTTAAATGAAGAGTTATTATATAAATCATATATATATATATATATATATATATATATATTGATTGAATCATATATATATATATATATTGAACGAGTAATAAGTATATTACTAGAAATAGTAGAAATATATTTTTAAAAAATCAGGAAATCTCAAACATCTCATTTAATGGTAATATTCTTATCAGTTTACGAACGTATATAAAGTTCGACAGTGAAGAGAACTGAGTCACTAAGATTTTATTAAAGTGTATGTGTTTAAGTTCGACACTTTGAGATGATCATAATATTTTGGAAAAATTATATTCAAAAGTTCTTTAACCGTTAAACAAATTTCTTTCAAAATCATTCAATATTTTAATTGAGTTAATATATTTAGAAAATTTATCGTGAAAATCAACTACTGCAAGTAAGTAGAATGATTGATCTATACATTTTCTAATCAGTTTCTTTTTTTTTTTGGATATTTACTTTCTTATTTAAATCTAATAATTAATTTAATTAAATTCTTGAACTTATAAAAATGAATTTTTTTTATTTTATTAAAGAAACATATTTTAAATATTTATAAAAATATAAAATATTCTTTATAATTTATAAAACGATTGTTTTTAATTCTAATTACTAATAGTAATTAGAAATTTTGTATATTTATTTTTTAAATTACATATTTCAACTATTTAAATTATTTTTTAAATATTTTTTAAAATTATAATTAATATTAAAAAATATTATTTTATAAAATATTTTATAAAATTTGTAAAAATTATTTTAATATAAAAAGTGATCATTTGACAAATAATTTTTTTTTCATAATAGTCCCTAACTAAATTAAATTGTTTATTTATTATTAGTAATAATTTAATCAATAGTATCTAATATAAATCATAATGTTAATAAAATTATAAAATATCAAATGTCTAATTAACAATATTTTTATTTTTTTACAGAAAATAAAAATGTATATTTTTACATATACTTTTATATTATTATTGTTAGGTAAGATAATGATTTTAAATTTCTTTGTTTAATTTCTATTATAAAATTATATTAGAAAATATAAATAATCATTGTTTTTATCAGGAGTGTCTTACATTGTGGCTATAGAATCTCCAACATTTAGCAAGACTTATACAGTAAAAGGAACTTTATATATTCCATATGCAGAAATCCGTGAACCATTTTATGCATGGTATGATGGCACACGTGGATCTAGTAGAATTGATTATTATGGAGGTAATTTAGATATATATTAATATGAATGGATATTTTTTTAAATAATAAAATTGATTAAATATATCAATTAGGAATGGTGAAAACTTTCCAATTGTCTCACAAAGGAGAATATGGAAAAAGTATAAAAATTGCTCCAATTACCACAGAGTCCGCTATCAATGAAGAAACATGTCTTGAAGTAAATGGTACTAAAGAAATAAAAATACAACCTCAAGTTATTATACCAGATACTACTAGTATGCAGGTAAAATAATATTTTTCATTTTTTTCTTTATATTTAAATTTAATTAGTACTTAGTAATTAGTAATAGTATAAAATTAAATTTTATTTAGTGTATTGGAGAGGAAATAGTTAATGGATTATTATGTGAAAAATGGAGATTGGAACAACAGATTGATGAAAAGATAAATAAGTATACTCTTTGGATAAGATATAAGGTAATTATATTTCTTTATCTTTATATATTTTTATCATTTATTTTTATTAATTGAATATATCTAATTTTAAAATTAATTACAGAAATCTCCACATTTACCTAATTTTAAAGAACCAATTCCTATGAGGTATGAAATGAGAGGATTTAATAGTCTTTTGGGCTCTCACTATGATCATTACTATTTAGATTATGATTGGTACTCATCTGATATACCTAGCTCAGAAGTATTTGAAATTACAACAAGTAATTAAAATTCTTTTCATTTGTTAACATAAATTTCATTTAAATATATTTTAATTATGAAATATATACTATAAATAGATATGACATGTATTGGTTTTCCTGGACCTGGAGACAAACATATATATACATTTAATCCTATGCATGAATTTGTTCATAATTATGACACACATGTAAATGAGGCATTTGAAGATTTTAAAAAAATTCATAACAAAAAATATAAGAATCATACAGATCAACTGATGCGTAAAGAAGTATTTAGACAAAATTTAAGGTAAATATATATATATATATATATATCACAAATTATGTAATTGATTTAAAATATTTGTAGATTTATACATTCAATTAATCGAGCTAATAAAGGCTACCAATTAAATGTTAATCATTTGGTAGATCATACTGAGTTAGAATTAAAAGCTTTACGTGGCAAACAATATAGTAAAGGTTACAATGGAGGACAACTTTTTCCTTATAATGTTGAACAAGAAATAGCAAGTATCCCAGATAACTTAGATTGGAGGCTCTATGGTGCTGTTACTCCTGTTAAAGGTTTGTATCTTATTTTTTAAAAAAAAATTATATAAGATATTTTAATTAAAAAAATGTTCAATGTTTCAAACCAATAAAAATTTTTTCAATTAAATAGATCAGTCTGTTTGTGGATCTTGTTGGAGTTTTGGCACAACTGGTGCAGTTGAAGGCGCGTATTTTATGAAGTACGGTAAATTAGTGCGTTTGTCTCAACAGGTAAAAAAACTTAAAATATAATTAAACATGACATATTATAAATAAAAAAAATATTTTATTATGATATTCCATGATTATAGGCACTTATTGATTGTTCATGGGGTTTTGGAAACAATGGCTGTGATGGTGGTGAAGATTTTAGATCGTACCAATGGATCATGAAGCATGGAGGTTTGCCTACAGAAGATGAATATGGTGGTTATCTTGGACAAGTAAATAGATTTTAAATACAACTATTTTACAGACAACATCAACATAGATATATATAATTAAAGATAAATAAATTTTTCATTATCTTAATGATATATTTCTTATCTATAACGATCTATATTTCTTATCTATTTTAATAAAATCTTAAATTAATTTAAAAATTTAATAACTTAAAAAATTAATTATCTTAATTAAAAAATTTTGAAAATTATTTTCGATTATTTATCTGTTTAGGATGGTTATTGTCATGTAAATAATATTTCAATGATAGCAAAAATTACTGGTTATGTAAACGTAACATCAGGCGATGCTAATGCTTTAAAAATTGCTATTGCAAAGCATGGTCCAATTTCAGTTGCAATCGATGCATCGCATAAAACATTTTCATTTTATTCTCATGGAATATATTATGAACCAACTTGTGGTAAGTAAATATAACATTTTCTAAATAGATACTTTATCAAAAATAATAAAATATAAAAAAATCTTGCTTATAAGGTAATACAGAAGAGTCGCTAGATCATGCAGTTTTAGCTGTCGGCTATGGCAAAATAAATGGAAAGGATTATTGGTTAATCAAAAATTCATGGTCAAATTACTGGGGTAACGACGGATATATTCTTATGTCTCAAGAAAAAAATAATTGTGGTGTATTAACAACTCCAACATATGTTACCATGTAAAAAAAATAACCAATATTATTTTTATGTTTTTAATGTAAAAGTATATGAAAAAAGTTTTTAAAAATCACAGGTTTATATTTTTTTTTTAAATATGATATTTAAAAATTGATATAATTATTTAGAAATATAAATGTATGCTATAAATATAAAAAAATAAATTGTTCAAAGTATATGTTATTTGAATAATATGAAATTTTAAAACGTTTATATGTATATGAATTAATATTATTTAAACATAAACAAAATGATTTTTATTAAAAATCTTTAGTATTTAAAAGCGGTTTTATAATTTTTGTTTTCTTTGTTTCTATTACTAAAATGGTTTAATAACAAATAATGTAAAAATACCATAAATTTTGGATTAAAATTTTATACAATGTAAATACACAATTGCAATTTGTTAATTCGCAAAATAATATTTACTTGTTATAAAAAGCATAAAAGAACATAAAGAGCTACGTAATTAAACAATGTCATGTTCTCATTTGAAAAGTATTACAAAAAATAGATAAAATTATACACAAACAATTTTATAATATTAATGTTAAACTATTGCTTATGTGTTGGAAAGCCTGATGCCGGAATTATAATAACAATTACTTACAAAAATATATGTAATTTCAATAGGCACAGTTTACGTAATACAATTTTCTAAATATAAAATAATTATATAGGTATATACTGAAAGAGTTACATTACTGTGCGTTCAATATAATATAGAATTGAATATTTTTTAAGATATAATTGAAAGAATTATTACATAAATCAAATTGAAAATGTTTAAAACATAAAAATATAATTTAATTAATTTTTCGATTGTATGAAAACTTTTACATGATAATATTATATCATTTCTTTTATCATCAATCTATTTAGATTTCATTTAGATTTATCATAATTGATCAGTGTAATACATTATTGATTTAACATAATAATACATTTACTTAAGAAAATTAATTTTTCAAAAAACATAAATAATACATTTAAAAGATGAAACATTTGTGTTCAGAATATATTTTTAAAAAAGTTAATTTTTAATGAATTCCATTATTTAATATAATCTTCATCGTCTTGTGTTTTAAATCTAATACTCACATCATTTTCAATCAAAAATTCATATTGCATATTACATATTAAAAAGTAGTTTTCGTTACGTTTTCAATTCTTTATAACTTGTGCAATTTTGTGCTGTTCGGTCGATTAAATCATATTTTATACGATATTATAATTTTAAGAGTAAATTTTCAATTATTATATTATGAAGCGATAGATAATCTTCATATAACGGCATTATTATTATATATTTGATAAAAAAATTGACACAATATTGTATCATAAATTAATACACGGAAAAAAATTTTTTAAACTCATATATGCAAAATATTTTTATGTTTGTTTTTTTTTTCTTTCACAAATGTACTCTTAATTAATATAAGATATATATATATATATATATATATATATATATATATATATATATATATAAAAAGGAGAGAAAGATAAATTTTATAATTATTTTATAATGGCATTAACTTTGGTTCAAATTATATCTCTCCTTTTTATGAATTAAGATTGCAAGTATACAATATAACTTTATATATTTTAAAAATATTACTTAACTATCTTTAATATTATCATAAAATTAAAAACTTTAATGATACTAAAATTTTACACGCGATGTATATGTGCTATTTCTGATTAAAGATAATTCGAAATAGATTGAAACAAATATTCTTATATGTAATATATGTGAAGAAATAAATGTTAAAGATGCACAATATTTCAGTCAAATATTCTTATATAATGAAACTAATAAAACAATGACTATACTTTTCACGAATTACTATGTCAAAAAGTATCAATATTATTACATTTACTGGGATCATACTATAATTAAATAATTGGATTAAACTGTATCACAATATTCATATAAAATTTCCGTAAGATTTCGAAATATACAGCGATCAAAATATTACATAACTAATGAATATTACATGTAACATTATCCTGCTTACAGATTTAATTTTTTTCGACCACTTTAATTTTTATACGTACATTTGTAGAGCAACATGTTTAAGTACACGATAATACAGTTTTCAACAAATTAATTTTCACGGTCGAAAACGTGCAGGAATTAATTAGAAATATTAATATTATATATAATTCTCTAATTTTCACTTTTGTCTTTTTCTTTTACTTTCATTGTATATCACTTGTGGACCCTGCTCCGATCGGTCGCATTTGACGATCGATAAATAACTATGATCGATAATCGTATATGGCGATCTTGAGAAACAATCGATCCTCAATTTACGATCGATATAGTAGGAATGTTTAAAATGTTCACTTGATAAAAACGTTTCTTTTTACTTTTTTTTTTTTTTTTTTTTTTTTTACTTTCATTATCGATAGTAGAGAATATAGAAATATTTTATATAAGTTGCCATTTAACGAACTAAGATATTTCTCATTTTAGACATATTTTGAAACTTTCCATTCTTCTTAACCCTACTTTTTTTATAAATGTATTTTGTTTAAAGAAATCCCATTTCTAAGGCGTTATACAATGACTGTGTATCCGAATGACTACTTATTCTCCAAAATGGAAAATTGTGGGCACGTGCTGCCGTTTCTTCGTCAGTATCATCGCCTATTACCACATACGTACATCTTCGACCAAATCGCGCGACTACTCTTCCAAAGCAACTTTCTTTTCCTAAAATATATATTACTTATACAACTTTTATTACATAAATAATATAATTAATAACAATTATATATCAATTTAAATCATAAATATAATAAATATTTTAAGCTAAATACTTAAATATTTTTATAGAACTTACCAATTTTTGAAGCAGAATAAATATTCTCAATTGGAAATATTCCACCAATTCCAAAAAGTAATACTTTCGATAAAGCTGGTACTAATTGTGTGGTAGTGACTAGAATGTTAATGCAGTCACTTCTTTTATTTATAAGACTCAGACATTTTACAGCAGACGTTAGCCAATTATCAGTCAATACTTCGATCTCTGAACGAAGTTGCAACCATTGTTCTTGTTTCGCAGCACCCAACAAACCGCCAACATTATTTCGATAATTATTATAGATTTCTTTAATTTTTCGATAACGAAAGGCTAGTTTTCGCATCCAATCAACACCACCTCTTACACCAGAAGCCAAGCAAATACCATTGTTTGTAGACGCACATTGGAAACCATCATTGGCAAAATTATAAGAAGATAAATCTTGTCCATTATCATCTGATGATACATCATCGATGTGCACTTGATCACAGTCCTAAAAGTTAAACCAAAAAAGTTATTGTCAAAGATATAAATTATACAAAAATAATGCAATTTAATAAATAATAATTAATAAAAAAGATTTATTATTTTTTAATTAAAGTATTTTAATTCTCCATGAAATAATGAAAATATATGTTCGAAGAAATACCTCGACATCATTGAAAAAAAAGTGAGTATCGGCCAAATTAAATATCATCTCCTCCATTCTATATGCCACTTGGGCCAGAAGAGCCGGATCCTTACGGTGCTTCGTTGCAAATTGTCCAGTAAGTAGAGAGTGAAATACAACTATGGTTTCATCTAGATCCCAAATGAATATCCGGTCAGGACCGGCTTCTGTCGTGTCCGCAGAACCTATACTATTTCCACTTCCGCTTTGGCGTCTTCCGCGTCTACAAGGTTTCGCTGTCGTTCCTGAAACATATTCATAGAATAATATTATGTCACATATTCTTTTTTAATAAGTATGTATTTTTATATTTTTCATTCTAAAAAAAAATAAGTATAAATATTTATATTGTTCATATAATAAAAAAAATACGTAAAACAAATTATTTTTAAATTATTATTAAGAAATTTATTATTACGAGAAATTTAACATAAGAAAATAAGAAAGACATACAATCATTTGCGTAATCACAAGTACAATCTATGATCGCAAAAACTATTTTTTTGAATATCTATATACTTATTATTTATTGCTGTTATTTGAATATTAATAATTTTATAATTTTAAGATCTCTTTTATTCTAAGATATAATTTCTGAAATATCATTCTAAATTTTTTTTTATAATTTATTTTATTAGTTATTCTTTAAAGTTGCAACATTCAAGGAGAAGATAACGACGCAAAAAATAGAGATATAAAATCACACGTACGAATCGTGTTACCTTCGATGTTTGCGGTTTCTCGTGCGGTAAGATCGCTAGCATCGTGAGTTGTTGCGTCCAACGTAAGTGCAGATTTTGTTGAATCTTTTTACAAAGAAGGAAATCGTTATTATAAATCATAATTGAAAATAAATCGTAACTGTTATAATATATAAAATACAACAAAATATTTCTATATAAATGGAAATTGGAAATAAAAACATTCTTATTATTTTTGAAATATGAAATAAACATATAAATTATAAATTTTTTTAAATAAATTAAAAAAATAAAAATTATTTATAAGTCAAAAAACAATATTTACTAACATCAAATTGTTTAATTTAACAAGAAAAATTTTAATTAAGAAGATTTAATGAAGTTTAATGAAGTTTAAAGTTTATCCTTAAAAAATTTTTACACATAAATAACTCTTTCTATGAAACTTGTACTTTTTCTTCTTATTAATATATTTACAATTTATAAATAACAGTATAAAATAATTAGCAATAAGATTTACAATTAATAATTTAAAAAATAATTTAAAAAATAATAAGATTTATAATTATTTTTTTAATGTTGTATTTATACAATATTGTAATATTTAATATTATAATTAATATTCATTTGTCTTTTCAGCAAGTAATACAATCAGAAAACAATTCTATTTCTAATGAATCACTTTGTATGATGTAATACAAAGAGGAAATTCAACAATTCTCATGCAATATAGAAATAATAATTGGAATTAATTTCGGTTTTATTAAAGTGAAATTTTCATCTCGGAATTTATTCCACAAGAATATAACTAATCAAAAATTAAAAAAAAAACCAAAGGAACGTTACCAGCAAAATTTAAGTTTCCAATGTTAAATGAGGTGGGTGTTGCATGGTAACTGTGCATAGGATAATATCCGGAATACTGTAATGGTACCCTGTCATTTCCATATAAACTGCTACTATAGGCGCTGTAATCTAACTTCTGAAAAATCATAAAAACAAATGATAACGTTGGAAAATAATAAATAAAATAAACTTCAGAGTTTTTAATACCTGTGAAGATGGTGATATATTTTGAGCCACATTAGGAAAATTTGTGGTGCCGCTATTGTACGTGGCGTAAGACGAGTATTGAGTCATGGAGCTTGGCGTTGTGTACGAGGTCAGGTAAGAACTTTGCAAGCTTGAGGTGTTTTTTCCAGTTGTGGTTGACCCATAGGGTGGCGAGTTGTATAAACTAACGGCATAAAGTTTCTATGTTAAATGTACATTTATTAATGTTTAGTAGCTAAAGGATTACATAAGTATTAATAATTCAGTGAGATACGTAGCATAAAGGTTAGGAACATGAAGATATAAAGTAATGAAATTTTTTAATAATATATAATGTAGAATATAGGAAAATAATGAAATGTTAAAAAAATATTTTAAAAATGAATAAATTATAATATATAATATTATAATATAATAGATAAATATATGTATAGATAAGCATATATGGAACATACATAACATAATATAGCAAATAAAAATATGTATTATAAAAAACTTCGGAATTTCTTTTTTTTTTTTCTTTCTTTTTAAGATAAATGTAAATTTTTGTTGACATATATTAAATTTTTAACGTCGAATATTTTTTAAAGCAAAGCTATTGAAATTTGAGTTTCGTGAGAATTAAGAAATTGACATAAAAGTGTGTATTTAGCAAGAAATAAATTCTATATGAATCATATAAGAAAAAGAGAGTAGATATTTGTAGACGTTTGTTATTTTATCTTTCAAAGCAAAAATGGTTCTGAACCTATAATATGTTCATTTTTATTATTTTATGAAATAATTTATCATAATTAATCTTTAACAAAAAAAATGTTTCTAATAAATATTATTAAGTTCTATAACAATTATTCAATCTGATAATATAAAATATTTATAATATAAAATAATATACTTATAGAACTTAAGTATATCTATATATTTTATAATCGAAGTTATAAACAAAGATTCGAAGAAATAAATTGATCGTCAGTTTCTTTCTATTTGAATATTGCAATATAATATGATTTTTTATTATTAAAAATCAGAATAATTTCAAGAAAAAGAATATATATAGTTCATGAGAAATACGTGCCTGTTATAATATTGATTGGCTCCGTACAACGAACTGTAATCTGCCTTTTCCATAGAATCCGGATATTCTTGTTCCTTTTCCTCTGCATTCTCATCGATATATAATTCTCCGCTGGGCACGCTGTCGGTTTCGGGACAATCTTGCACCTCGTTTTTGACTTCTGTCTCTGCCAGTATGAGCAAAACGATTCACGTTCACGTGTTTTTGGTTAAAATATGTTCGATATTATTGTATTATTACAACATTAAGAAACATAGAAAAAATATTTTTGAACATTCTATTATAACTAAATTCGTTCAGTTTTTTTCATTAAAAATAAGAAATTTTAGTTTTTTCTATTTGAATTGATTCTATAATTTTAAAAAGTCAAGTTGATAATATTGTTGTTCTTATAAATTAATAATTTATTATAGTGAATATATTCTATTAATATAATAGTGAATATATTATATAATAGTATTGAAATTTATTGTAGTACTGAAATATTACATGATATTGATAATTTAATGTATCTATCAAATACCATTGTAAGTGAAATGAAATAATAAAAAAATAAATGAAAAAAATTAAATATTTTGCACAAGTAAAATTCATTTAAAATTTATGAAACGATTCGATTTATAATCAATTACAATCAATTTTTACTATTGTTTAGTCACGAAAAGTTCAAAATTTCAAAATAATTTTTCCATCACATTGAACTAGAAAAAATCTTTCTTTTTAATAAAGAATTCTAAAATTTTTTAAAAAAGGAAAAATAACTTTAAAATAAAAAATTAAACTGCGCTATTCGATCACACTTGTATTTCCTAATTTGTTGAATTTTAAATGAAATGAAATTATTAAATAAAATTAAAATATTTTATATATACAGAATATACACAGAAAGGATTCTGTTTTGATTTCAAGATTATATATTACTATATTTATTCCTAACAATAAAACTGAAGAAATATTTGATCTATGTTTCTTATTTCTTGTTGATATTGTCTAAAATAGAAGTTTATTGCTTAAAACTAACAGCAAACAATCCTTTTTTTATCAATAATAAATAAAATAAAATAGAAAAGTGAATAAATATGAAGAAATGCGGAGAAACATATTTAGTAACAACGAACGAATTTTTTTTTTAAATAACGTGAAATATTAACATTCTCATTGTGACTTTAATAAGTTTGAGACATTTTACTTGCAGATATTCCATATTTATCATATCTTATCATTATATATATCATTTTAGAAATTTAACTTTTTATATATTATATTATATTATTATATTACTTATACTATTATATACTACTATAATATATACATTATATTATAATACCATTACTATTACTATTATTACTATATAATACTATTATTATAATATCACTAAAAAAAAAATCTGTTTTGAAAGGATTAACATAGTGAAAACTCTTTATATGATCGAAAAAAATCAGTAATAGCCATTATCATTGTGATGAGAATATTTCGTTTCAATTCGAACTGCATCGCGTAATTAATTACACAAACAATTAGTGATGTTATAAAAGCACGAACAGTCCATTACAAAAACCATTTTATATCAAAGTTTTATAAAAGTGAAGAACAGTGCGGCATACCATCAACGACCAGGTATCTCGTTTTAATTCAATCGACTGGCAATATATACGTTCAAAAGGGAAGCGGGAAATACAGACGGAAGCCTTTTCGAAACGTTGAATTTAAACCGTTTTATTGAAGGTTTCGGTTATCATTGCGCGCTGCTACCTTACAAACACAAATTTTGCAATTCTTTTCATGAAAGATTTTTTTCATGGTTGTAATTTTGTGTATATATGTGTGTGTGTGTAAAAAATATGAAAAAAAAAAAAAATAAATGAATTGATAAAAATTTTATACATGTATGTGTGAAAAAAATATGAAAAAAAAATAAATAAATGAATCGATCAATAAAAATTTTATATATGTGTGTGAAAATAAATAAATAAATAAATAAATTGATTAATCAATAAAGAGAAAGAGAAATAGGGATGATTTGTAAACGGACCTTTAAAAGGGTAGCCTTTTAAATGGACCCGGAATGGAGGAGCTTTATTTACCATTGTTTGCGGCTCGAGGATGCTGTACCGAGGCCTCTGTCGACGATGACACGTTGCCAGCATTATCTAAAACGCCTGCTGGTTTCGTTGGATCATTGTCTTCGGTTAACATATCACTCTGCCTGAAGGAAAAGAGAATAAAGTTGCGATTTAGTATGATGATTGAGAATTAGATTTAAGTATATTTTATTTTAAATAAAGATAAGAAATAATAATTTAAAATAGTGAATTATATATAATAATTTATTATCTGTTAGAAATATTATTAATTTAGGAAAATTTTTTTATATTAGAAACAGAAGTAAAAGTTTCAAAACTCATTATTGATTTATTTTTTAGTTTGAATTGATTAATTCTAATGAAATGTGAAGAAAGTTGACCATCTCAAGATTCTATAATTGATCATTATATTATTATTTTTAGATTTTAAGTTTTAAAATTTCATTTATTATATATAAAATTTCAAAATATTGAATTTCTTAATCATCGAATAAATGATCGATTAACCATATTATGATCAATTAATCATAAAATTTGTTGATAAAATAGCTTAATTAATCATAAAGAAAGACTGTATATATAATTTAAATTTCTAAATCTTCCATTTTTGTAAACATTTCTCTTCATTTAAAAAATAAAGATGTTTTAATTTTTAAAATATTATAAATATAGATATTTCTTTTTGTTCATATTATTTTATAACTGCAATTAATAAAAAATAGTTTTTTAGTTGTCTCTTAGCGATATTTATCGATATAGTATTATGAGTGATAGACATTCCTGATAACATATCAATCTTATTTGCATATTAATGAGTAGATCATACTTTCATGAAATTTTCCCAGTGTGGAATTTCGAATCTATCACATTCGTTTGTTTTACACGTGCAAAATGATAATTCTTATAATGTTTGTCAAATCTTTTAAAATAATCTACTATTTTCAAAATTTTCAGTGCGGATAAATATTTTGGTAATCTTAAATAATATTATAAATTAAAGAACTTCGTAATAAATCAATATTCGAAGATATAAAATTAGATATTAAATATAAAAAATATATTTAAATTATAAAATTCTTTAATTTTTTTATTTTTAAAAATGCAAACTTTTAAAATATCTTTATTTTACAAATTTTAATGTTTTGGCGATTATAATACTAAGGAATGAAATATAAGATATGTATATATCTTTCTCACAAAACAAAAAAAATTATCTATTTTTTTATTTTGATAAATTTGTCCCTAAAAAATCAAAGAATCCAATTTTTTTTACAAAAAAAAAAAAAAAATCAAATTCATTTGAAAAAGATTCATTAAAATCGATATCGATAACCACGTGATTCTTCGGTTCCATCGTTCCGGTTGACAAGAAAAGAGTTAATGTATACGAAACGGGCAGTTTCGTTATTGTCTGCCAATTGCGTGTCGAAGAGGTGGAGTGACTAGATGGGTAGGCGTACACCAAGAACCTTAGAGAGCAGCCAATGAAACTTCCTTTCACGATGTTTTACATTATGTATTCTTTATGTTGCCAAGTCGCTATATCTGTCTGTGCTCCGCCCTTATTCGCGTTTATATACTTCGTAATGCACTATATATATTGCGAAAAAGAGACTCTCTTGCATAAGGGCGCTTTCACACTGACGACGATATCGTAATGATACACCGCATCCGCGAGATTAAATTCCGATTTATTTATGGATAGATCCTTTTCTCTTTCTCTTCTTTTCTGTCTCTATTTCTATCCCTCTTTTTATCACAGAATCTATTTTGAAAAATTTCATCAATTTTTTTTAGAAAAAATTTCAAAAACTTTTTGTTTTTAAATTACTTTATTCTAAAATATCTTTTGTTCTTGGGCATAGATAGAAAACCGAAAGCAGATATCTTTTTCATTAGTTTTTCATTTGTTTTATTTTTGAATAATTTGAAAGACTTTTCTGCATAAAATAGAGATTAAGTTTCTGAAAATCGAATAATGATCGATATTGAATTTTGAAATATTGAATTTTTGATAATTATAGGTTGAGAAATTTATTAGTTTTTTCAAATTAAAAATTTGAATGACAAAAATTTATATTTTAATTCTTTTTCTTATCTAATCGTAACTTTTTTATTAAAATTTAGCATTGTCAGTTTTCCAGATGTTATTAATGACATAATCTGTATAACTTCAATATTGAATTTTAATTTTAATTTAAATAAAAAATGTCGATTGATTCGATTAAAATAAGTTTTCGATATCGATTTTTTAATGATACACATATAAAAGGGCACTGAACTTGTGATTTATAAATTGTCATTCACCAAGCGGAACAGGATTTCAAAACTGTTTACCATTGATAAAATTCAACAAACTAACAGTGCTTTGCAGTTCCTTAGATTACCTACAGCAAAAAGGGTTGTAATTATATAAAAAAGTATATCATATAGAAAAAGAAATTTAAAAAAAATCAACTTCTTTCAATTATAATATAATAAAATAATAATAAAATAATATAGTTTTTATAAATTTTGATGATTTAATTAAAATTAAAAAAAAGCTTTTCATAATTATTCAATAAATTATTAATTTTAAAAATAATCAGAGAAAAATAATTCGTAATAATAAAAAATATTCCAAAAATATGTTTCAAATATTTTCATAAAATCAAATAACAAAAATAAATAAATAAATATACAATATTTAATTGAACAAATTTTTTGAAAATATAATAAAAAAGAAGGAAAAAATTTGAGGAAGAAGAATTTAAAAATTTATTTTCTTTCTTTATATTAAATAAAATAAAAATATACCATATTAAATTCTTCTCCTATCTATAAAAATCAATAATAAAATCCTATAAAAATCCTCCTATAAAAATCAATAATAAAATCAACTTATAAATATAGTTCATTTAAATATATATTTTAATTGTAAATATTATTGTATCGATCGATAACACAATTAATATTGCTATGAAATTTTTTATATTGATGACATAAGAAAGTCAGAAATCTTTAATTAGATTGATAGATAACAAAGAGAAAAAAAGGATCATATTAAATTATGATTCTGCAAACAAATCGATTCTAAGTAGAGTGATATATGATTAATTACTCGTTCTCCAATGCGGGGGCAGTAGTATTCTCCACGAGTACGAACAAATATTTTCTCTCGGGTGTTTGTAATTGAATAAATCATTGTCAATGGAACGATCGTTTCGAGAAAAATACGAACAATCGCACATCATACACGATCCTCTATATATGTATAATATATATTGTACATATATGTAAATATATATATATATATATATATATATATATATATATATGTATATATACACGTTTGTAAGAGTATGAAAGCAATTGTTTCCCTGTGATGCATGCATCGCGTCGGTTGGAAGTTACGTCGCTCACTGGAACACGACGATGAATCAATTAGCGTGCAGCCATGTGTTTGAACAACAGGCAGAGGACTCGCTCGATTTTTCTTCTCGGAAACGTAATACATATACGCGTTCTCGAACGTTGAAAGTCGAAAAAAAAAATAGCCGATTTAATCGTTCGAAACAATGGACAGTGCGTGCGCGATATTAAACGATCACTGTATTTCGTCGCGTCGTTTTTTTCTTTTGTATCGAATGATACCGGAAAAACGCGAAAGAGAAAAACACGCGTTAAACGCATCCGAATTCCCTCCCGTTAAACATTGTACCATGATTGATCGATGAAAAACTGTTGCTTTTAACTAACAGCGAATATAACTATAACCATTCATTTCTCAAATCAAAAATTTGATTTTTATCTCAATGGATTTCAGTAGAAATTGTATGAATTGATTTTAACAAATAATTTTTGTATAGAATTTAATTAATGATTTACAAAGTATAATATATAGTATTTAATAAAATATATATTTAAGAAAATTTAGCTTATAAATTTATATTTAGTAGTAAGATAATTTATATATAGTAATAACCGAAAAATAGATTTCATTTATCTTGTATATATTATAAAGCTAAGCTTTTATTAGAATTAAATACCATAGTACATTAAGAGACGAATTTTGTAGGTTAAGAAAAGAATTAATATGAATAATTTATTTAATCAAAGTAATATTTCATAAAATTAGCAATATAGTCAAAAATAAAATTTTTTATATAACATTTTCTTTTATTTAATATTTGTGAATAAATATAATACTTTATAAATAAAATGAAATGTATTCCGTTTTATTTATAAAGTCCATTTTTATCTATAAGCACATACATATACATACACAATGATATTCTAAATATCCTGTTTATTGTATCGTCAACGTGTTATTCGAAATTACGTTATTATTTATTTTCTTGAAAAGGCACGAAAGTCCTTAGAAAAACGTTCGGGTTTATCTAAATAAAACGTGCACCGAAATGTTTATCGCAGTTGAGTTGTTTGCCTTGCCGCTGTCCGTCAGCCGTCAAAGAAACGCAACGAAACGAAAGTAGGATAGAAAAAGAGGAATGTGCGGCCAGAAGTTTCTCGTGCACGACACTCGTGTCCACAACAGCCGCGGTCAGCTTACATTTGAAAGGAGGAAAGAAGAAAAATAAGGAAGGGATGGTTACACTACGAGACCAAGACAAAAGCTTCTCCTTCGTCCCAGAATTCCCTGGTTTTCCTTCGTCATTTCTTTTTCTTTAACCTCTAAATATAAAACACAACATAGAAATCACGAATTCGTTTCAAAATATTTTATTCATCATCAATAAATTTATTTCGAATAATGACTTCTTGAGATTAATATTTCTTTATTATTTTTTGTATGAGAACATTTTCATAGAATAAAAATTTCACTCGGTTTTTCAGTACTACGGATTAAGTACTTGGCACTATGCAGCGGTTGACCAATTAAAATACATTACTGGTAACGAGCCGAATGAGATGCATAAGTCACGCATGCTCAATTGATAATGACATTTACACATGTGAGTGTGATTATGGATGCATTTCTGTATATACATATATGTGCAAAAATATATCCATGTAGCGTGTGACTCCCGTACAACTAATAAGTTAGGGAATGGATAAATATAAAGCAAAGAGAATTGCGCTTCCCACGTGGCATTCGATCAACAAATTCATTTAATCATTGTTTCCGTTTATTTTATTCACTATTTCTAATATTTTTAAAAAGGAAATTCTTATAAATTAAATTTAATTTTTTTATCTTAATCTAAAATAATTTTATAGTTAATGAATGATTTAATTAATTTTTACTTTATGTAATTTTTGTATATTATGTTCTATAAAATTTTCTTTATTTGCATTTGAATGAAGTTATAAGTTATAAAGACTTACACGTTACATAATAATATAAATATAATTATTCTATATAAATATAATTATGCAATTTACAAAATTATTAATTTTTATTTTAAATGTGAAAATGACATCATTAGTAAAACAAATTAATAATAAATTATATAATAAATATATATTAATTCAAACCTTGTATCCGGTGTTAAAGCATGGACCAAGAACGAGGGTGCTTCGCCGCAAATTATTCGTAGATCAAGGAAGCTGTATTCGGTTCTCTCCTAATAGTAGCATCGTCATCCTTTTGCTTATATTGTATGTATGCGTGTACGTAATGCACTTGGGGTTTAAGCACACAACCTCTCACTTTTCTCGCACTTTCCACGACCACGAGAACATCATGACAACCGACGGATGCACTATCAATCGACTATTTCCAATACGCGAAATAATTTTTTGATCAACAAAAATCCATCCAAAAATTCACTCCACGAAAGAAACTACAAGTGTAATGCAATTGAAAGAGTTTGGTCGATGATCTCGCGAGAAAACATCTCCCAAACAGTTTTATCCGTGTACCGCGCGAAGGGTGAAACCATGGAATCCGTGGATAGTATGTATGTTTCGAGGCAATTGGTCAAAACGAAAAGCAGTAGTCGATCTTTTTCGAGGTTACATCCACTCGATACGCGTTTTTTCAGACTCTTTTGATAAATTTTTTATATCACAAACGTTAACACTATTGTTTCCCTGCGAAGCGTATCGGCTCGGTGTGCGATATGCTGCAGCCTGTGGAGTTCTGAGCATGCGAAATGTCGCCTGCCACCCCCGCCCGATAGTCACGTGGTTGGCCGGCTCGTTTAGCATCCTTCTTCCCTGTTCATCTCCTCTCTCAGTTTTATCCTCCATCTTCATTCTACCGTTAGTAGCTCTATTCGTTGTCTCGTTTCGTTGGTCGGACGCGTACAGGTCGCTCGTTAATTAGAATGAGAGAGGCTAATAGCAACTCGCTTGGCCACTCGATTGTCAGACAAAGAAAAGAAACAACAAAGAACGGATCTAGATGATAGACGAAGAAAGACACAATCAGGTTACCCCCTTATTCGAATAATTGTCACCTCCTGTCACCGTTCGTTTTTATGAATCGCTCTCGACTGACAGACCCACAGCTTTTTTCGTTTACAGCCCGTACAAGGAAGAAGTCCATCGTAGAATAATTATTAAGGTAGTCTATGTTCACGATCTTGATAACCGCGAAGGAATGCACAGCACGGGGTTAACGAATTAATGGTGGAATACGCGCGGTCCAAAGTGGTCGTTTCTAATGCATGGTGAAAGATTTTAATCCGTGAAGAGGTCTCCACGTGCCAAAGATCGTTACCATAGTACTGACAATTAGTGGTGACCTCTGTAGAGATTGCATTCGGTTACATTATTCGACAGCGTTTGATGTATACGATTATTTTCGATTTAACGTCTTTTTTCAAATGAGACAGGTTTTTGAATCTACGTGCCGGGAAATGTGATGCGACAACGAATGTTCATGTTGTTCTTTTGCATCGCGTCCACAGCATGGTACGCATACGTTTTTTTTTTCCTTCTTTGTTTTATAATCGGAGATAGAGAATTCTTGACGGGAGGTCCAGCGGCTCTACGTCATACTTGCTGCCTTCTTGGAAGGAGAATGTTCTTTCTTCTTTTTTTTTTTTTGCCTTTTTATCGATTATGGTGTGATAAAAGTGACCCAAGATATTTGTCCTTGCTACCTGTCATTGCATGTTAAAATAAAAATTATTTTTGAATACTAGATAAACAGATTTTTTCAGATTTAAATTAATTTAAATATATATATGTTAATTACATTATATAAATTATTTTGTATATATCTTTTAATTACATTCTGTTTTAATTTTAAAATATTTGTTAAACGAATATTAATATAACACAAATTTTATATATATTTTTATATATATTTTTAATATTATTTTGTTGACACAAAATGTTATTTATTGCAAATTGAAAGAAATTCAGACTTTTTTTTAATTATAATAATGGTTCATGAATATTTTTGCGGTATAGGATTGCACCTAATGAAAATGTCGCGCACGAGATGAAGATTATATTTTTGACTATGATAATCAGGACGATGCGAGACAAGGGTAGCAACCTAATTTCCTACCACCTGCTCTTACATCCAATGCGCGTTTTATACGAACTAGATGGATTCTCAAATTTCCTTGAAAGTTTAGATAATGTTACCGTAAAATTTTTCAAAATTGTTTCTTATGTGGTATTTCAATTTATAAAATAAAAAGCTATTTTCTTTAAATTTCCCATATGAATACAGCATTAAATTTATAATTTTTTTATATACTTAATGTCTTTGAACATAATTTAATAAAGCTAATTTAATAAAGCTATAGTATAAAATATTTTAGAATGTTAATTTTGCTAAGCAAATAATATTTAAATATTGTTAATCTTTTTTTATAATGTCTAAAAATATAAATATGGAAATTAATTTCAACAAAAAATAAAATAAAATATAAAATAAAAAAGAATGTGCTCAAATGCGGGATAGAGGAGAATGTGCAACGGTTGCTTTATTATCTCGCTCTCATCCCTGATACGTAATATTTCTCGCATCAAAGTGCATACGATGGCGAATATGATTAAGTGATTCATTTCCTCGTGTTATTTATTCGCCACAATGTCTATTGCGTTTTTCGAATTTATATATCTGTAAGTAGTACTTGAAAATAAACAAACAACCGAAAGCAAAAGCGATTTCAATCGGAAAAATTCTTCGAAAAACGACAAAGAAGATTAGTATCTTTAGGTTATTCCGAATAAGTGCAACAGAGCAGAATAAGTATTTACCTTAATCCGATCATAGTTTCACAATATAATGAAAAGGAGAAATTTTTATCTTTTAGATAAATTAGACGTATGTTCTTTTTAAAATCCTTTTATAATATTTTTTAAAAAGATAAAAAAAAGAAAAAAGATACATAGATTTATATACTACGTAACTTACGATGTACGTACGGTCCACGAATACAAATGCGATATAGCTCGTGAAGCGTTACGCGAAATGGATGTTGTCAAGTTTCCCAAGAGTCGTTCGACGGAGATCGAAGGTAATAAAGAAAGGCACATGAAAGAGACATGGCGTCAACATCCTGTTGATCGAATCCAGTCGTTGTCTCACTCAGAAAAAGGTGATATAAGGGTTGATACCTTTATAATATAATGACATCGTAGTGCTATATACAGTTGCGAAGAACCCTTGTGTATTGATAAATAAGACAGCGTGCGAGTAAGTGCAATACTAGTCTTGAAGTATGCGGGACGCTTGTGGTCTATCTCTAACGTACAAATGGTGTGCTTCAATGTGCGCGTCGACCACCCAAGGGTGCACACACCTATACGAACATTTTAGAAAAAAGTGTATGAGTACGGACCAGAATATTTATTTTGTAGAGGTTCAGGTATGTACATATGTCTTTTAGTGCCGAACAAACTAACTTTTGCTTGAGTGAATTACGCTGGTCATTTTGGCAGACAATAAAAAAATTAATAATAAACATTTTTCCATCAATAAAAAAATATTCATTCGTAAATTCTATTAATATATTTAGATATCTATTTTCATCTCTTTTAGAAATCATGATTGTAATTAATATAATAATTATAAATTATAACTTTGTGTAATCGTTAAAAAAAATTTGACGTCATTTGATGTAACATCAAAACTATTTATTATAGTTATATATTTATTTTTATTATATTTATTATAGTTATAGTAGTTTATTATAGCGTACAAAATAAGAAAAGTATGATATAAAATATCTATATAATTGAAATTATAAACACTATTTTAAATAAAATATTAGATATGAGGTATTAGATATTATCAATTTAAATAGTTTCAAGAGAAAAATTAGAATTTTTTTTTCATTAAAAAATGTAGTCTTTTGTTTCTCGAACGACACATCTTTACGATAAGATCCTGCTAAAATAAGTGCACATACGTGTAGAAATCCTGCGGGTGGGTTCAGCCCCAGCTAAGTAAGCGAGATATTTCCTTCTCTTTCTTATATATGTGTATGTAAGGGTGGGGATCTCGCGCACACACACCAAAGGATTTGTTTAAGTAGGTATGTACAAACGTATCTTAGGTTATATGGGGTGTACAATTCGAAAATGTCAACTTATATTGTTAGTATATAATTTACTATTTAAAGAATGGACAATTAGAAAGCAAAAATTTTATAAATATACAATTTAGAAATTCCGGAATTAGTATTTATGATAAAATCATTTATAATAGTAGAATGATTGGGAAATTTTGCCAAATACAATATTGTTTCAAACACAAATAATTTATTTATCTTATTTAACTTTTAATAAAAATTTAATTGATAAATTTTATTGTGTAATATTTAATAGGTACAAGTTTTAATCAATATCTTATAATTCTTATAACTTTAATTTCTAGTATCGAGGATTAAGATACAAGAAATGAAGTTAAAATATGTTGTGAATGTCGTTCTTAATTAATCAGTGCGTATATAAATCACAAATGAGATGGCAAGCTAATTTTCGGACACCCTGTGTGCATGTAACGCAGGCGCAGGCAGCTGTCACCTTACACCCATGGAGGAGGCATGGGCTGCGGCGGCCATTCTCAACTTATCTCTAGGATCTTTGTAAACATGTCGTGAAATCCGAGTATTCAAGCAGTGGCGTAGATCGCGAGGTGGAAGGACCCATCGAAGCGTTCTTGAAGGAAGAATTAAAATCTCCAGAGAATATGTTTGAGACTGCAACGTTGGGCGCACAAGGTTTCCTTGGCAACCAGAACCATGGTGGCAACGTCACTAAATGGAGCACATCTTTGTTCCGTGCTAATAAAAGGACTTCAAGACGTGCCACCATCTTCTTTACCCTCTTCCTCATCTCTTAGTCTTCCTGCTTAGGGCACTCATCCTTCCGTTACTCTTCGTTGCGATGAAAATATTCGTGGAGCTACAATCATTTGATAATAATAGTTCGATATTTTTGTTTTATTTAACGATGATTTTTCAAGATTTTGCAAATGTATAATAAATTTACATGTTATTATTTTTCTAATGTATTTTGTTTTTTCTATTTTTTGATTTATAAATTTTTAATTAAAAATTCTATGATAAATACATAAATAATAATTAATATTTTACAATGTAATGTTAACATAATTATATTTATGTCATAATCTTGAATTACATAAAATAATTTCAAATCTTTTGCCATTATTGCCATTATTACTATTTACCATTTATAAATTATATTACATTTATGAATATTTTCTTAGATTATCGCATTAATTGATTGAGCAATCAAAAATGGTTCAGTATAATTTATAAGTGGATAAATTTTAATATATTTATTATTACGTGACGTTTCGAAACTGTTGAAGGCTTCGAGCTCAAGACTTGCCAGACAAGAACCGCAGCAACGTGAAACATAATACAAGTTGCACCAGCCAGTCCTAAGCTCAGCCATGCGAAGCAGCCAGCGACTAAGGAACGCGACGTACGAATCAGATTACATCTTGCGTTGGCTGCTTATCTTTATTCTTCACTTTACCTCGCTTCAATTCACTTCATTTCGCTTCAGTGACAACCCTTCGATCGGCATCTTATAATCGCTCTACGATATACATTGTCCTTGAAAACAGCTTTTTAAGTATTTAAATAATCACGAAATTTTACTTTCATTAAAAATTTTAATTGCCGAAGTTAAACCATCTATTCATGATATAATCGTATAATTTTATAGTCACATCAAGCAGAAATTATTTTCGCGATATCGTATTGTAATAAGGATAAAAGTTATAAAACGCTTTTGTTTTAGGAATAATTTACAAAAAATTTTATTCCTTACCATACAAGTTTATGTTTACTGTTTTATCCGGTTTTTTGTTTGTTGTACTAAACATTAAATATTTCTTAAAATTAATTAATATTTACTCATTGTCTGTTCCGCTAGTTTGTAGAAACACCGGTGCTTGAGCACCTTGCGCAACCTGTATCAATTGGGGTTGAGCTTGTATAGGAGCAGTTTGAATTATAATTGGTTGATTACTTCCACCTTGTACTTGCATACGAATCATTTGAAGTTGTTGAGGCGTTAATTGTATCTAAAATTATATACAAGTTGAATAAATAAACATATAAATAAATAATAAATTCATATTAGATCCTAAAATAGTATACATACTGGTATTTGTTGAATTTCTCCACTAGGTGTTACAATTTGTTGTACAATTTGTATTCCCCCAGTTTGTGTTGTAGGTGTTTGTTGAGCCTGTTGTAATTGTATAATTTGTTGGCCTGATGATTGTTGTGGACTTTGTACTGTTACAGTCTGTGCTGTATTTGGAGTAGTGCTTTCCTACATTAAATTATCTAATAAATATTTCAATTTATAAAAGAAATAAAATATTTTATAAGGATAAAATATATACCTGTTCTACTGGACTACCAATATTAATTGTTTGTATTTGTCCAGTTGACGGTTGCACTATTTGTATAGGTTGTGTAGTAGCATTACCACTTTGGACATTTTGATTGGCAGAAGCTTGTTGTTGTGCTAATTGAAAGTAATAATGTACCTGATCTGAATTCATAGAAGTACGTACAGTGCTTTCAGTCTGTGCTTTACTTTGTTTCAATTCATCTCTAGGGACTATATCAATTAGAAAATCAAATTGATCATACTTAGTTATTGCCATTGCTATATCATTTCTTTGAAGAGTACGTCTTTTATTATCTTCTGTATGAACCCATGCTCTTAATGTTAATTCATGTATAAAAATTTCTGCTGCTTTAGAGAATAACATTGGAGCTTCTGCACTTATCATTTTAACATCATCATCAAGTTTCATAATTTTTTTTATCCTTGCTAATGGCAATGATTGTGTTTTTAAGTCCATCTATAAATCCAATAATAAATAAAATTAAATCATTATTAAGTAACAATAAAATAATTAAATAATGTTATAAAACATATAATATTTAAATTATTATTTACAGTAGTAATTTTTTTAATTTCTTCTGTAACTTTTGGCCAAAATTGTGCCAAAGTTTGTTGAGCTTCAGAACTGCCAGGCGATGCAATTTGTAAGTCTCCATTTGAATCACCTTCAACTTCACTATCTTGATTACTAAACAGAATAATAATAACAAGTTAATATATTTACATTATGATTATTATTTATTTATTCAATATATATCATATTTTTGTAAAGTAACACTACATTTTTTAAAAAAATTTTGAAATAAATATGTAAGAAAAATATACATATAACCTAATAATATAGAAATAAATAATTTTACTCACGCATTCACGAAGAATACCGACATTTTTTATAAACACTGTTGAAACAACATAAGAAAGAATATTCTAAATTATGAAAATCATTTTACTATTTAAAATAAACCTAAAGTAAATTGCAAATACTTTAGTTGATTATTGACAAATAAATTATTATGTGCATTAATGATTATACTGCCATGATAATCAATTTTATTTTACTTTAAATTTCAGAATATTCACGATAGATGGCAGTAACGTTCATTTTATGTTATATATCATTATAGATAAGGCGCAACAATAAACGCAATATCTAATGTATTTTCTTATCCTTTATCTAAATTAATGACAAAGTGCATAAATTTATATAAAATATAAGATTTATTCTAATTTCATGATTTTTTCGATATAAAACTTCTGAAATGATGTTCTATAAAATAAGATTTCACGATAAAAGATAATTGAGAATAATTTTAATTAGTAAAAAATATACAATATTATAACCTTTTAATTATGTACATATCTTTTACATTGTGTACATTTATGTTATAAATGTGGTACAAGTAAAATATTAAAACACAATATATATAATTTTAATATGTACAATTTTTTTTCATTCATGCATAGCTTTATAACTACAGATACTTTGAAAAACTATATTTAATACTTCTTTGGCTGAATGAGTTTCCGAGTTACTTATTCTAATAATACTTCCAAATTCTCGAATGTAATGATCTAATTCCATATCTTTTGATAAATCTTTTGTTGCCATATATTTATTTGTTAATTGTAATAATTTCAATAAATCAGAACTAAAAGCTTCATCTAAATCAAATAATTCTAAAGCTGGTGGTGGTAATTCTTGAAAACTTGGTGGAAAAACCTATAAAAAAAATAAATTTGTTTTGCCATATATCTGATTTAAAATATATATTTATAATGTAATAATAACAATCTTACTGAAGCTTGCATAGGTGGTAATGGAGTCTCAAAATGTGGTGGAATAAGAGTAAGTGGTTCATGTTTTACACCAAGAACTTCATAAGCCTTTATACAAGAGGGTACCATATCTAAGTTTACTGAATAAAGATGATGTTTAAACAATTTGGTATAATCATAAGGATTATCCATAATATCCATATCCTGAGTACATACTTTTGGATTATCAGCTTGTTGTGTAATATCTGGGATAAAATTATATTCCCAGAACTAGATAAATATTGTTATCATTAATAATAGTAAATAATTGTTGATATGATCAATTAAAATATAGAAACTTACATCTACATCATCCATTTGAGATTCTTTAATTACAATATCTGTAGATTCAAAAAAATCAAAAATCATTTGTCTTAATGAATCATTTTTTTCTTTTTCAATATATGTATCGGTCAACATTCTTGAAGAACCTAAAACAAGTAATTTTCCACCATTGGTTTCATTATAATGATAAGCACAAATAGGTCTATTTGTTGGAATTGCTATTGATCCACTTGATAATGCAACTCTAGATGATTGTGCTACATTTAAAGTTGCTCCATATGGATATAAAAAGTTCATGTTTCTGTAATATGATATATTAAAAATAAAATATTTTTATATAATATGACAATTAATAATTATACTTGAATAATTTACATATACTCATCATGATTTCTTGAAAATATGGATTTATTTGACATTCCTTGAGAAATTAAACATTCTTTTGGATGCATTGTTTGACTATAACTCATACGTATAACATTATCTAAAAATTTAATAATAAATAAAATCAAATAAAATTTTTTTAATTATATTTTCATTAGAAATTTTTATAATGAAATACCATTGTTCACCATTATGCCAAATTCTTCCAATAAAAAGTTTACATTGGTATTTGATTTTTTTTCACCACCTTCACCAAGCATAACTAAAATATGTCCGCCAGAATTTAAAAATGCTCTAATTGAATTCATTTCTAATTCTGTAAATTTATTTCGTGGACCAGGCAATACTAATATTTTGCCTGTCAATAATAATTCTTCTGTTAAAACATCGTTGTTTCTAAAATATGATAAAAGATATAAAAAAATATACTTCGAATTCAATGAAAATACATAATCAAAATATAATTAATATAACATTACTCGATAAATTTCCATTTTGATTTTAACTTTCTTTGTAATATTTTAAATTCTTCATTCAATTTTCTCTCGTTTTTTGACGCGTCAAAAATAATGACGTTTAAATTATTGTTACTGTCACTGCCGCCAAAGATTGAGCTCATAGTGATTGTCACTTTATTATGTTAAATAAATCTTAAAACAATTTTTGACAACTTAATTCTATTTTTTTTATCGTGTATACTAATTAAGTTGTATTCTGATATGTATACTTAATTATAATTCATCGTTGTCATTGGCAACTATAATCATATCAAAATTTCAAATATAATTGGCTTATCGTGTAAGAATACATCAGGGATGTAAAAATTTATTATATGATGTATTACTAAATAGACGAAGAAAAATAAAGATAGAATAAGAATTGACTATCAACGCCATTTTTTAATCAAAAACATCTCTCCAAAGGGAAGATAAAATAAAGCACTCAAGAGATGGCGCTGATTCTATAATTTTTACTCTAATTTGCTTTTCTTATCTATATGTATCCTTTTACCGTATGACTATATCTCACATATGTATGAGATGTCAATTGTCAATACTTGCATCATTTTTCTTTTAAAATTACAATTAATTTTGGTTTTTAATAAAATATTAATATAATATTCTTTACAATATATGTATAAGACGATTAAAATATGATATAAATGTTTTAATGCGAAACATTCACCAACGATAATGAAATTTAAAAAAGCAATAAAAAAAACAAGAAGAAGAAAATTAAATAAAATAATATTAATAAAGAAATGCATTGAATATTAAGCCTATTCTATTGTATTATTTTATGAGAATATATTAAAATGTATGAAAACAATCAGCTGATCATATACAGATGGCGTTTCAAATGACGCACAAGTTGTGAATATTGTTCAAAATGGTTGGTGATCCATGTGATTAAAATGATTTTATAATTATTCAAGAATTGATACAAACAAGATGACTGCAATTGTACAAGAAGACAATGAATTAAAAAAGTTACTTGGTAACCCTGCAAAAAATACTGGGGAGGATGGTTTGATGGGTCCACCGCAATCGGTAAATTAATAAATATGTTTATAGAGTATACACTTGTTTATAACTTTCCGATTTATTTGCTAATTTTTATCTTAGACTAATGTTCCACGACCGAGCACATCGCAAAATGTTAATCCACAATCATTGATAAGTCCGATGACCCCAGCTAATAGTACAAAAGAAGTGATAGAACCTTGTTTACAGTAAGTGATACAAATACTTCAGTTATAAATCTTTTTTTCATTTTTATATAAACTATCTAAATAAATTTTGCAAGAATAATTAAATTTATTATATGTATTTCAAATGAAAGTAAATACTTCAAGTTTACAAATAAATATAGTTGAATTATATTCTTTTTTTTTTTAGAAATGTAGTTTCTACAGTTAACTTAGGCATAGAGTTACCATTAATGTATATTAATACAAGAACAAGAAATTCTGAATATAATCCAGCAAGATTTATGGGTCTGATTATGAGGATTAGAAATCCTAGAGCTACTGCATTAATTTTTCATTCTGGAAAAATAGTATGTACTGGTGCAAGAAGTGAAGAAGACTCTTATTTAGCAACAAGAAAGTTTGCAAGAATAATTCAGAAGTTAGGTTTTGCAGTAAGAAGTATTATATATTATATTTAAATAAATAGAGAATTAATAATCTTATATTTCATTTTACGTGTCTATTATTACAGGCTAAATTTTATAATTTTAAAATACAAAATATAGTTGCTACATGTGATCTAAAATTTCCAATTAAATTAGAAAATTTAAATCATATACATGGACAATTTTCTAGTTATGAACCTGAACTTTATCCAGGTCTTATATATAGAATGGTATCACCAAGAGTAGTATTGCTTATATTTGTAAATGGAAAAGTTGTATTAACAGGTAAGAATAAATTAAAAGAAAGAGATTTCTAATTTTTATAAATATCTATATATTTATATATATTAATTTTTTAGGAGCAAAAAATAGAACTGAATTGCAAGATGCACTTAATAATATATATCCAATATTGAAAAGTTTCAGAAAGCAATAATAAATTTTTTCATATTTTGAGTTTTTGTAAGATAAATAATTTATATAAAAGCAACTAAAATTGATCATGTTATCAAATATAATATAATATAATTTAAATTTATATATAATTGACATAATTTATTAGGAAAGTAACAATTTTTTATCAGTAAAAATTAATAATATATAAGTGTATATAATATCATTTTAATAATATTTGCACAAATTACAAATTAGATCTTCTTTAATAAATTAAATTATATAATTTATATAAAAATTATATAAATATAATAGCATATATATATATAATATGTTAAGCTTCTTATATAACTTATAACTTATATAACTTACAAATATATATCTTTTATAGAAATAAATTTGAATCATATATTTCTGAACATTATAAATATAAAAATATTAATTATATTATTATATAATTAATATAATTATATATAATATAATATATATAATATTATATAATTATAATATTATATTATTATAAAAATAAAACTGATAAATAAATTTTTATAAAATATTTATCTCACTAGATATAATGTGTTTCAAAGATGTGTTTTTATAAAAAATATTAGAAATACATTTATTTAATTATATTATATTTAATTTTATTTATATTTAATTGAATTATTTATGTTTTTATGAAACAATGGTAATTTTTGTAGAATTGAATTTCATATAAGTTTAATAATTAATTTTTGATAACAGAATATATATATATATATATATACACATAATTGTTAAAAACAATATATTTAGAACATTTATATATATTTTATTTAATAACATACATTGATTTTAAATTACTATTTTGCATTAAAAGTAGCATTAAGATATTTAAAAATATTTGTATCCTTATTTAGCACCAGGATTTTAGATTATGAAAAATCTTTTCTAACAAATTTATCTATTTTTTGTATTTTTTTCTTGTTCTTTTATTGTATTATTGGAATTATATTGGATTGTAGATGTTTTTGGATATATTTTTAAATGTTTTGCAATCCTTGTTATCTTAACATCTTTTCATAAGATATGTCAGATATTTAATTTTGTTAATATCAATTTAATAGACATTTAAACCTTTCTTCGCCGCAATCGGCAATTTTTCACCCCGGAAAAATGGATTTTCTTCCTGAAATAATATAATGAAAATTTATTACTTACATTGATATATAATTTAGAATTTAAAAATTTAAAGCAAAAAATTACATATTACAAATTAAACAATTCAAATAAAAAATTTTAAGTTTCAATTTTAAAAAGTTAAAAATATATTATTTTCATGCTGCTTTTATTATAGTATATCATAAGTTATACCTCAAATCTTTAAATTAAATTCTTAATTTTTAAGAATAAAAAAAGTAATAAAGATTTTTTATTCTTTAGTGTATTCAAGATATCGGTAACGGAGGCATTAGATTAAAGAAAATAAAAATTGATAGAATAATAGGATTAACGATTTAATAGGATAACGATTTAATAACTTCTTGATAATTCAATTTTAAAAAAAATATGAATATATTTCTTACAACTTGAAATTGATCCACGATTTGATTAAAATTGGAGTTTGAAATATGCATATTTGGAAGATTGTTGCTGTTTGTAGAATCAACTGAACAATCCAACATATGTTCCGTATCGCACATACAATCTTGTGCACTTTGGTAATCTCGACTGAATGCTGCTGTATTTTCGAAGTTTACGATACAATTGTTTTTACCTATACAATAATCATAATATGATTAAATTTCGTTACTGATTTAACAGTTTATTATTAAAAAAAAGTTTTATTAAAATAGAATATTAAAAAAAAAAATAGATTTAAAAAAATTATTTTTTAATAATGAGAGTTGGTTTTTTAAAAATTAATATGGATAGTTTATTAAATTTTGATTAAAATATAAAAGTAAAATTATATTAATCATTGTACAAAGATTAAAAATTTTTATTAAAGTATTTTACAATAAAAAAGATTTAGAAAAGTATAAAAGAAAATACATATGTGTAAAATAGATATCAATCATAATTTTAAAATGTTAAATCACTTACTGGTATATCCAACTGGACAAGGATTCGGTGGTGTACAATATGCAGGTAAAGCATTCTCTTTTTCATTTTTGATATTTTTCACACTTCCAGGTTTGATTCTTTGTCTATCGTTCACTTTATCATTATTGGTAATATGTTGATGACTCCACAATGAGCTATGTTGTAAATATTCTTGATCGCGAATACTGGGATTAGGATTCAAAGTATCCATACTATCGTAATCAGCAGGTAGCTCAAGAGGAATTTCTTTCGGTTTATCCTGATATTCCAGATAGGAATCTGCTGTATCGATAAGTTCATTTCCCATTTGATTGATTAATTCTCGGAGAAGAGTATCGGTCAATAATTGTTCTTCCTGAAATTAAAATTATATAAATTAATAAATTAATTTCGTTTAAAATTCACTATAAAAATATTGTTGAATATATATAATAATATTAACAATTGTACATGAAAACTTTCATTAAAAAAATTTTTCATTAACGATAAATTGAAAAGATTTTAATATGTAAAATATATTGAAACTAAATAGAATTAAAAGTAGTATGTTACCTTAAGAGGTGGAGGCAAATATACTGATGCTTGAACAGCAACAGCCACAGAGAAAAACAAAATCCAATACATGATTTGAGTAATCTAAAAATAATTAAATTAATGATTTATAATACAATCAATATTATATTTTTATTATAATTAATTGTTTACATCGCGATTAATTAAACCGAAATCAATTAGATTAATTTTAAATAAATTACTTTTTTTCATTTATTAAGTACATATATTAAATAGTAACAATCTACAAAAGAAAGAAAATTACATACATCATTATATAATAACAATAATTTTTTAAATATTTTGTTCATAAAAATTACAAAAATTAATTTTATTTAAAAAATCTCACTGAAAAATTTATATACTAATATATAAAAATATATACAAAAAACAACAATGTAAATATCATTATCGATTCTTATTTGAGGCCAATAATTATTCGCGTAATTTTTTTATTATAATTTTCAAATCGAATTTCCATTTGAACTATTTCAAAAAATCTTGGAATATGTAAAAATACAAAAAAATTAAAAAAACCAATATATATATATATACATCAAAATAAAATGATCAAATGGAACTTACCAAAAATCGTGTAATAATCGCAATAATGTACTGATGAAGCGATCCTCGAGTTTCGTGAATGGTGAAGTGTATGGGTTGGGTTTTCTTCCAACAGAAGCGGCGCTGTGCTCGCATGAAATATTGATCCATATTTTCCGCGTTGCTTTTCTCCCTTCCATTTTCACATTCGGCCACCGTACCGCCTACAATCCTCTCTTACAACCCACATTCGTAAAACCGAGTTACGAGCAAAGGTCGGCCCACGACTGAACTTCGTGACGTCATTTTTACGATTAAAGGATAAGTATCTGGCAGGATAGGAGGAAATACATTTTTAAAATAGATATATATGGAAATATTCTCATTTTTTCAATTCATATTATTTTGGAAGATTTTATAAATATGAAATGCATGTTTTTTTGATGTTATTAAGAAAATAATACATTAAATTAGCTCAATTTTAAAATTATTATATATCGAAATCGAAATATATCGAAATCATATAAAATATAATATATGAAAAATTTAATTTAATTTCAATATTTAAGAAATAAAAAATAAAATTAGAATATAAAAAATAGAAAATAAAATTAGAATATAATAATTTTTGATATTTATTGTGTTTCGATTAAAGAAAAAACAAATATTTTATTTACATCGAATTCGACTTTAAATAATAAATACATAATAGGACTTATTTGTGATTTAAATGTAAAATAAAATAGTTAAAATAGATATTATTTTTAAAATAATATTTATTTTAAAAAAAGTTCCGAAAAAATATTAATGAAAAATCTGTCAAGATGTACATCATTATTGCTGATATAGAAATCATTATTTGACACAAAGTAACGTTTTTATTGAGAGAGCATCGCGTTAATGGAAAGACTAAAACATGAAATAAAACGACATCCGAAGGCTCGAAAGATCAAAAGACCCTTGGCATTCATTACGGCCGTATATAAACGTCCATTAATAATTGTCTCGCTTTGCATACTTCCAACTCAATTTCTGAAATCAAATTGCTACCGTGTTTCCGTCCACCGACGAAAATTACTCTCTTTATTGAATCATGTTCTCGCGCAAGGGACACTTTGTTCTCTCGAAAATCCTTGCGTTATGGTTACCGAGTGAGCCACAATTGTGTTTGCCTTCGTATAAAATCTAGGAATAAATTGATTTGAATGTAGATTTAGTTAGTTTAATTAATTGCTAGTTTTATTATTAGTCAATTTTTTAAAACTTTTAAAAAGAAATTCTTAATTTAAATTTAAAATTTATTTTTTTGACATTTGATGATGATATTAATGTATACGTAAAATAGATAAGTAAAATATATACAAGTTATAGAAATTGAGACAATAATTTTCTAGTTAACTAATAAAGTTCTAGTTAACTAAAAAAATATATTAATATATTTTTTTTATATTTTTATAGTTAAATGATAATTATAATTTTTTAGTTAAATGATAATTTATAAATCCTCTATACATAAATTAAATTAATTAATAAATTATTTAATAACTTATTTATTCCATTTGTTTTTATCAATAAAATATCAGATCGAAAAAATATTAAAATTATAATAAAAAAAAAAGTATAAGAAACAGATGATTATCTTTCTCTAAAGGGATAAAGAAAATAAAGGAAGTATTATCCGATTATGCGCTTATCTCATATCTAGCTATTCATCCGTTTAACTTTTCTCATTTGACAAACTTATCACCTATTATTTATGTCATTGAATAATAAATAAATTGCATCTTTATTATTTTTTATTTATTAAATTTGAAAAAAGTTTTTAATTTAAAAAAATTACATAAATCAATTTCCAATGATTGTATTTTTAAAGATCAACAAAAAAATATATATGAATGTTTTTTAATTTACAAAAATGAAGAAATGCTTTTCAATGCGAGATTTGATATTGAATGGTTCCATATCGTTCTAAATGTACTTATATTGATGAGTTAAAATGCATGGGGTTTGTCACTTACGTCAATGGACATGTTATCGGCAGTTAAATGACTAAAACGTTCGAGAAATTCATTAATTTATGATTGACTTGTCATTTCGATTTTAGGTTAGGAATATTATTATCCATGTTTATATCTATAACATCTACATACTCGTCTATAATAAAAGTTCTTCTTTATCATGAAAATATATTTATTACGTATAATTTACGTATTATTTTAGTAATAGTTATATATTTTATTTTTTAAATTGTGTTTTAATAATAATTGCGATGTAATATATGAAAAATTCAGAAGTGAAATTGATCAATTTTGAAATGATTTTTTGAAAGTTTTTAAATTTTAGTTACCTGAGCATATAGAAGATAACTATTTCGTAATTAATGAATTTAAAAAATATTCTATATAGTACAATATATTATTATATATTCTATAACTCAATATCATTCATATATCATAAACAAAATATTTCACGATACAGTATTATAAAATCATAAAAGAGATATTTAACATAACACAATACAATTTATATAACACTATGAAATATTTTGCAATATAATAAAATTATATATTACGTATTATTAATAATATTATGGTCAAAATATTCTACGATACGATAAATATAAGTGATACGCCATCGATAAAGTATCTTGTGAATTTGTTCATTAGAAAGAGAGTTGGTCCTAACTTCAGTTTAGTGAACGATATTCAGATTCGTGAGTCGTTTATGTATTATATAGTATTGTGTCGCGAAATATGAATTATATTGTGGCATCTTATGAATTATATTATGTGGAATATTTTGTTCGTAATTACCAAGTTAATCTGTTTTTAACTTTTACATTTTATAAATACATAATTTTATATAAATATAATTTTATATATTTTGCTAAAGAATTTATTATTTATAGTCCAAAACGCTTTATTAATTTTTGGCTTCCGAAACCACATATTACTAACCTCAATATCTCGAACTCTGTTTCATCCAACTTTCTACTGAAGTTCTCATCCATAAATTTTGTCAAGTCACTAATAGTCAAATCTCTTCCTTCTAATCTCATAAATATTCTTTAATTCATTATTAAATATTAACATCATACTAGTTTAATATCACAAAAGAAAACAATGTAAGTAAAAGTTTTAATTTTTTGAATTAATTAGTTACATAATGATAATATACTTTAGCTCACATCATTTGATTTTTATCATCATTAAATTTTTCACAATTGTCTCATTTGTAATACTTTTTTCTTGAATCTCTTCATTCATAAATAAAACATAAATCATTTATCAACACATAGGCTTATATTAAAAAAAATATTAGAAAAATATTAATCAATGGAGAATGTGTTAAGCACTTTATAATGTATGTATTTCACAAAGAAGAGAGAATAAATTTCATAGCGTATAAAAGAGACACTAGATACATGATGAAAAATTTTTAATCGGCTATTTGAAGTCACCGTATTTTTTCTTATTTTTTAGATTTCATAGTAATTATTCATCTTTTATAATAAACCAAAATCTTTTTTTTTTTTTAAATAAAACCAATTAACATACTTTCAACATATTTCCTACGGGGTGTACCGGATAAAAGATTCTTTAATTAATTATTTGAAGTCATATTTTTTCTCATTTCAAATTTTACAATGATGATCCATATTCTAATTAGCCAAGATCTTTTCTATTAAATGTATAGTAAAATCAATTATCTATTTGAAATCACCATATTTTCTATCGGGTGTATAGCAAAATCAAGATTTTTCAATTGACCATATTTTTTCTCATTTTAAATTTCATAATGACGATCCCTATTTTAATAAATCAGAACTTTTTTTATTTTTCTAATATATGATATTTTCTTCTGGATAGGTGGTGTAAGGTTGTTACGCTATGTCTCGCCGTCACGAGTATTGATCTCCGCGGAGCCACTGTGTGAATGGGCTATAACCGTCTCACCCTAGAACCTGGGAATACAGAATCTCCGTCCTTGTCTCGTTTCCTTAGCTCTCCTCCTTCTCCTTTGTCCTCTTTTCGTTTTGGACTCAAGTCCATTTTATGTGGGTTGGATTTCTTCGTTTTGGACTACATCCTCCCATGCACTTATTCACATAATAATTATTGGCGCCTGTGGAATGCTCTACCTTGACTCTGACCTATTTCTTTGTTTTTTTGTATTTAGGATTTGACTTAGAATGACTTAGAATTGGATTGTATGATTTGTGCAATTTTTTTTTAATTGTATTTATTTTAATTTTTTTGTATTATTTATTTTTTTCTCTTTTTTCATTTTTTGTTACCTTTTTCTGTTTTAGATTTTTAGATCTTCTTAATATTTGATCAAAAAAATTTGGACCTATGAAGTTTAAACAATCTGCACAATCTTATTATAAAAATGATATCTTATATATATAAAATTTTACTGATATACTTTGTAAAAATGATATCAACATTAGAATAAAATGACAGAAAATAACATAGATCATGATTGAAGTTTGAAGACAAAATATTTTCATGTCTAAAAATCTGTATAATTAATCAACTTCAAGTAAAACACCTAGTAATTTCAGTTTTTATATTACAAGTATGTAAAATGTATCTTTTACAAACAAATCGAAATCGAAACTCCTAGATCATGTGAGAACTAATTAAATGCTACATGTGTTCGTGTGAAGGAATCACGCATGCACGGTGTAAAGTTCATCCAACATTTGTGGTAATGTGAAAATATCATTTTTCATTAATTCCTTTTCTTTTTCTCTCTTCGTTTATTTCAATACTCTTGAAATATTTTCCTCAATCTGGAGGATTTAATTAAAAAAAATAATACGTATCCAAAACATTATTCAAATGTAACCTATATTTATTTCAAACTTAATTCAAACATAATTCAATCTAATCTAATTTATCTTAACGTATTCTAAATCTGAAAAATATAAGTTATTTAAAAAACATCGAAATTATTTAGATAGTTCATTGTAAATCATTAAAGTTATTCACGTTTTTCAGTACTTTTTCTTGTATCCGTAACAATGGAATTCTCAATTTCATCAAACTCCGCTTAAGTCTCCTAACATAACTTATATTTACTCCAAACTTTAAGCACAATCCAACTTAATATAATATAATATCTTAATCTATTCTAAATAAGAAACACGATAATTTATTTATTTCAAAAGCATTGAAATTAATTCTTCATAAATTCTCAATTAATTAGTTCTTCATAAAGTATTGTCCAAATTTTAAGTAATGAATGAAAATTAATAATTCTTGTTTTTTAACACTTAAGATCCACCTTCAACAATGGAGTTCTCAATTTTATCAAACTAATCTAATTTACATTTATTCCAAACTTAATTCAAACATAAATCTAATCTATCTTACTTTATCTTATTTTAAATTTTAAAAATACATCTATTTATTTCAAAAGTATCGAAATTAGTTTTTAATCAGTTTTTTGAATATACATTTAAATAAATTATTACTTAAATTTTAAAATAACGAATGCATATGAAAATTAATCATCATTCTTCAACATCTAGGATCCATCTTGCATCCCCAACAATGGAGGCCTCAATTACATCGGCCCATATCTCGACAATATCAAGCCACTTCTGGGCTCCAGCTGGGAAAACAGAATTCGCTCGATCCTTGACGAGTTCGTGTGTAAGCCGAATTCGCATTACGCGAAACAATTTCCACGAGTGAAGAAATTCTTGGACATGGTCGCCATTTGGGCTAACGATGTTTCTTGCAAAGACACAATTGTGAAACAGGAAGTGATTAAGCACATCGAGTGTATGGTGAAGGATAGCCTGGTGACACAATTTGCGGACCCGATTCTTGATAATGGGCTGAATAAAGTAGATTCCGATTCTTTGGCCACTAAGCATAATTCCTTACAATGCATGAACGTTTGGAGGTTTATCACCGAGAAAGATTATTGGTTGTGCCAAGATTGCTCGTGAGTGTGCATATTATTTATCTGATGATATTTCTTCTCGAATATTGATCATTTTTTATGCAGAATACTAATTTTTATTGAAATTTTTATTGAATTGTTACTTGTACTAGTGAGTATAAAACAGCATATAGGATTGGAAAATGATTTTGGAATATGATTTTAAATATACAATTCAATATACTTATATACTTTGTCTTTAAACAAAGTGGATTTTTTCGAAATTATGAAATGAACGTTTGGAAATGTTTAACGAGTGTGATTGTAAAATGTGATTAAAATTAATCTCTGAATAATATTTTCTGAATAATTTGAGACAAAAATAAAAACTAATTGTTCAGATATATTATTTATATTAAAATTCGGTGGTATATCATGATTGTTACTTACAAAAATTTATAAATATTAGATAAATGTTTAGATAAATTAAAGATAAATTAAATAATTATGAATTCTAATTTCATTTTGTAGAACACCAATCCACATAGATCCAAAAACTAATCGAAAAATCCACGAAAACAATAGAGAGAGTTCGAACAGCGACTTGGACGTCGAGGTCGGTTCGATCTCGCAGGAGCCATCATCCTATTTCACCTGTGGAGCCTCCTATGATCGAATTAACAACCAAGAAATCGAGGCATCAACATGTCAAGCCGAAATCAAAAAACAAGAACTCGAATTCGTCTTCCAATTAAATCTACAGAATCAAATTCCAACAACAACTTCGAACAATTGTTGCACGGAAACACAAGACACGATAAAAATCAAATGTGACTATGACACAAAATGCGTACACACTCAAACCAGCCAAACGAATTTGAACTTCATTTTCACGACGAATAATCAATGCGAATTAATCGAACCCTGCGACGCTTCTACTTGCCCTAAATCCTATCCAAGAAGAATAAGTATACAAGAATCAAATATGGTATGTTGCGACCAAAATATATTCCCCAAAAATTCAAAATTAAAAATTTACATATACAAAGCAATGAGCGCCGATCGGTGCACGACTCGAGATATGCCAAACGTATCCAATCTCTCGCTTCCCTGCAAATCGAATCAGCTGATCGTTCGACTATTCGAGACGGATCCGTTCTTGCTGGACTCTTGTTTGATTTTGTTAAGGAAAAGATTCGAGAAGGACGTGAGCAATGCTTGCTCGTGCATAAACGACATCCTGAAGAAGTTCGACGACTCGATGATCAAGCACTTTCGCTTGAACTGCGAGATTAAACATGGCCGCGTCGATTTGAATCTGGTGTGTAAAAACGGCAACATAACCAAGTCTCGATGGTTTCTAGCCAGAATACCGACTTGTACTAACGTTCACAAACGTGATTCGTGTCACAACAAGGACGTAGAGAGCTGCGAGAAATACGGAGAGCCGCGAAAATCGATGGAGATCCCAATCGATCCCGTATGCGGCGAGGAGGTGAAGATAGAATGTTGCAAAGAATTGGAGGAACGGAAAACTACTTTCTATTCTTTTTGCTCGAACGACAGTTCTATAAGTATGGAGTCATCTGTGTCGAAGGTTGAAAAGGAGAAAGAAGAGGAGAAAGAGGTTAACTTCGTGTGGTCGAGAGAGGGGCCGAAGAAGATGGAATTTGTACTTTCTTCCAAGAATGCGATAAGCCCGAAGAAGAAGCGTGGAAAGGCGAAAGTTTATTTTGAGGTTGATGCTGAAAAAGGTGAGGAACATGATGATGAAATTAGTGACAAGTCTGAATCGTTTTTGAATGAAGAGAAAGAAGAGACGATGATGGAGGGATATAAGGGCGAAGAAATTGCGGATGAAAAGAGTTTCAGACTTGAAAAGAGCGAGATACGTGAATTTGTCATGATAGGTACCGAGAATGAATTGACATTGTGCGAGTATGATTATTCGTCTGATAGCTTGAAGGAGAATGTTCTTAAAGAAGATCAATCGATGAGTAAAGTTTGCGACACTGAAAAATGCTTTTCGAATAACGAGTTTTTCTCATCTGATAATCTAAATCAATGTGAACAGAAAGATTTGTGCGTGACTAATGAAAAGATGGAAAGTTTAAAAAAAGATTATAAAGAATGTCATCTAGAAGAAAATGTTGTGGAAATGCAAAAACCGGAATGTTCACACACGAGGGAATGCGAAGAATACTCGAAGGATACTTCTTGTTCAATAATGAAAAAAGACATTTCAATGGACAATGAAATATGTACTTGTGAATTAAGGGATAATACTCCTCAAATGGAAAATTGCATAAAACAAGAAATGAATATTTTATCAGAAGGTGTTGTAAAGTATAATTTTGAATTAAACAAAAATATTTGTCAGGTAGAAGATACGTGCAAACGAGAAGTGAATACCTTGGAAAAGAAGAAAAATTTGGAAGAAAAATATAGCGTGGATTCTATTTCATTCGTCCATTCGAACTCGACCAAGTGTTCTTGTTGCGGCAAGGCTCTTTCAAGCCCCTCCGACGAAGAAATTAGTGAAACGAACAAATTTTGCACGAACGAAACGATTCTTGACTCAAAAGTTCAAGAGACATCAAACTTAATTGGAACAGAAAATATATCGGATAATTTAAAACCTTCGAATGTTCAATATTGCAAATTTCAAACTAGTTCGATCATTTCTTCATCTCCCGATCGATGTTACAATACTATCAACAGCAACGCAACAGATTCGCCACGATCATGTCCAAATTGCGAACAAAATTTGTCTAAACAATTTACTAGCGAAAAAATTTCAGATCCTCCTGTCCCCGAATCCATATTTATGTTCTGTAAAGATTTCAATGTGACGAATTTCTCTTCTACATCCGATGAGGAAAGCTTGAGTGAAAATTTCGAGACGAGGGATCAAGAAACGCGCGGGAAATTCAAATCGCCTTGCAGAAAATCGACTCCACCGTGTCGTCAAAAATTGATACATTACACAACGTGCGATAATTCCTCGTGCCCTGCGAAAAACTTTCGTCGAGTGAGATACGTAAAGCCCGATTCGAAATGCAAATCGAGAGGGGCAGATGGCGTTCGAGTCGTTGCACGACACAAGAGTCGTCGAGGATCCGTGATTCCGAACAATCTGTGCAGCTCGTTTCCAGCCATCGATCGTATCAAATACCTGATACGCAAGAAATTGCGAAAATTGCTTCTTGAGGAACGTGATAAGGGAACATGCACGTCGAAGACATTTCTGAGAACCGACAAATACTTGGTCAGTATATCGAGTGGAAAATTGAACGGGGAGCGTGTTATCTACAAACCTTGTCCAGGTAGATCTCCGATTCGTTGTCCTTTCAGGGCCAAAAGTCGATGCGAAACTGGTGATCGGGCAACAGTGAAAACGTTCTCGGAGGGAAAATCGTTAAACAAGAATAAAAATGTGATTGGTGATACGATCAAAACAAAATGTCAAAAAATGATTCAGAATAACGATATATTCAAGAGAATCAAGATGGCGGATGTTTTGAAATCTCAGAAATGTGATTCGAAAAAATTATCGATCGACGCGCGGGATTTGAATAAAGAGAAATCAAAAATTAGAAAATTGGATAGTTACTCGTTAAAAAGTAGAAGCTTGAAGGATGATCGTTCAAGTGTTGTGTCTTTGAATTCGACCAGAATGGTTTTCTTTGAAGACCAGGGTGATCATTTTATAAATCGAAGCTTTCTTCGTGAAAAAAATTTCGTGTTGAGGAGGGATAACAGAAACGTGGCGAATAATTGTGAATTAAAGAAAGATTTTTTCATCGATTCGAGATCAATAAGAAGTTATTCTAGAAAAAACTGTGAACGTAATTCTGTTCGAAATGAAACGAAAACGGAGAATAGAACTTGCTCTGATAAAATGAGATCTTTTGAGAAACGTTTGTACAAACTCGAGAGAAAGCAAAAAGAGGATAATAATCTCACGATTTTTCTCAACGATTACGAGAGATTGATTAGCGAGCTCGACGCAGATTTTAGGTTAAAATTGTTGCAATACGTGACACTTTGCAGAAGCGTAAAGAATTGTTTGATGAAAAGATTGCAACCGGATGACGTTTGTGAGAGTTCAACTTCCGTGTAACAAAGGAGAGGGAGAAGGTCGATTTAATCGATGGATCGATTGATTTTTATCGATAAATAATTTTATATTATTGTTATTTTATTGTTTAAGATTTTTGTTTAAGATGTGCCTTTTTTTAGGTATGTTGATGTAATATAGTTTTTTTGGAAATGTAGAAGAGAAATAGTGCTGTATGTGGAATTGTTTTTGACAAATTACAATGAATTAGAGGGAAGAATGAATAAATATTTTTACAATTTTTTTCAATTGTATATATAGTTTGTATGTCTTTGATTTGTTTGTTAGAAGAAGATATTTCAAATATTTAAAATTATTTTCAATTTAATATATTGTAAATTTTCAATATAGTAAATTGTTTTAATAATTCAGTTGTTGTAGTTTACATTTACGTTTACAATAATTTATTGAATTAAAAAGAAAAATTAATTATTTTTCATATATCAAAAATTTAAAAATACTCAAAAAAATTGTATCGTATGAGAATATATTCTCACAAAATACTAATTTTTATTATTAATATATAATTTTAATAAATATTACAAAAAACTTAACCTCAACAGATTAATTCTATCCAATCATTAAAATACAATAATCATTGAATGATTTAATATAAATTATCACAAATGAATATAAATAAAAATTTGATCCAAACATAATTTCCATGACAATGGAATAATTTTAATTCGAACAATTTTATTTTGAGAAAAGTGGCAATAAAATACGAGCAATCGTTTGTTGGAGTATATTTGCTGCCAAATGCCTTATCACATATCATGGTGAAAATGATAGTGAAATTCGAGTTATTTAAGGCGTGCCAGCCTCCCCCCGAACAGAAGATAAAGTATTGTAGACCAACTATTGAGAGCAAGCAGCATCCATCCTTCTACCCAGATCGATATTTCCTGGCAACCACCGGAGAGAGGGTGCCCATCCCAGTTACTCTGTGTTTGTAACAATGCAAGTCGACTCCTAACAGCTAGTGAAAGATTTAAGCTGTCGATATCTTGCATTTTTTTTCTTATATTTTTCGTATCCTTTTATTTTTTTATCAAGTTTTGTTTAAACGAATATGTTAATGAACAAATTAGATTTCTAACCTAACTTTCAAATAAAGATTCATTTATATAATTTTTAACACGTTGAATTCTTTTTGTAAATGGTTATCATGTACGTAAAAATAAAAAATGGAATTTTATTAAAAAAAAACAAAGTTATTAACTTAATTTTTTTAAAAATAGAAGTGAATGAGAATTAAAATAAAAGAATTGCATAATCCATTACAGTAGAAATGGACAATCTCGTGTAGACGAAGTAGGATATTAGGAACACTGTACAGTAGAATCAAGTAGTTTTACACCGTCCATATTTCACGAGTAACCTAAATGCTCGAGTATTTTACTTACAGCCAAAAATTTATGTTATAAAGTTTTGATATAATTTCTGTTTCAACTGTTTGCGTATATTGCTTTTTCAAGACATAGAGATATAGAGAATTAAAATTATTTCATAATCTTTAAACAATTTTCCAATTACAATAAGAGAAATCATAAGATGATAATAGCAATAATAAGAAAAATTCTAAAGCAAAATTATTCTTTCAACATTTTCTAAAATTAGTTAAAGTGATATCTAAAGATTTTATTTTAAAAATCTTAATAAGTTTATTTTGAAGGAATTCTAATTAACATTATTCTTCATTTATTTAATAAAGAATACAAAATCATGTCTTTAGATTTTTTAATAAAATTCATTACATATCAATCACTCTAGCATTCAAGCACTTCATTTCATATTTATCTCAAATTCTAACACCTTTAAGAAAAATAAAATCACCCTTTTAGAAAAATCATCTTTTCAATCCCTCTTTCAATTAAACCCACACCTTTTAACATCGTCCCACAACCAACCTTTCTATTTTCCAACATCCTCGTTCGACTTCCCCTTAAAAACTACCCTCACGTAGTTTCCGTGTGCTGAATTACAGGACGTTGCATAAATAAGCCCGAGGGATCGTCAGAGATACGCGGACATTAACGTTAATACCGTTATATACGAATTTCTGTTCCTGCGTAACGTTTTGTTGTTGCAAAATTGGCCGGGGTACAACAAAGCCCCGCCTGGGGTCGATCTAAAAGGGTTCGCTGGATAAGACGATTGGCCAGTGATATCGATGCGTCGACCTACCATCGGCCAATCGTGTCGCGGCACCGTGGGTCGCGCATGCGCCTTGATCGAAAGCCAAGTTGGCGGTACCCCACCGACGCCGTGGACGACGCCAGGCGACGTCGTCGACGTTCTCCGTCGCGTACCCCGCGCTTTTGCTACCCTACTCCGCTCGTAATCATATCTGGACTTAATTATTGGTGAGTGGTGGTTTGCCCCTTGTTTTCAACTCACGACAAACCTTCATTTCTTTTCTCGTTCTGATTTTTTATGTGAAATTTAATACACGTGTAATACGCTCATTCCGTTATTGGTTTTTGAGAATCATTGGTGATGAGAGTTTATCGGGCTGGTTATTCCAAGAGTGTTTTTTGGGGGAGAGCTGAAGTCGTGGGGAGGTGAAGTTTGGAAAGAGGAGAATATATTTTCAGTGTGACCAGTGAGGTGATTCTGTAAGGAAACTGGTAAGATCTAACGTAATCGTATGTATATACGGACTTGATTTTTTTTTTATGCAAATGATTATAGTTTTTATTGAATCTAATTTGTGTGATTAATTATATAGTTGTTGATTTTTCGAGGATCGTTTTTCAAGAGTTGTTCCAAAGGTGTTTTTTGGAGAGAGTTGTGAATTTTGATATGATGGAAGAGATTTGTGTGATGTATTTTTTGTGTGAACAAATGAGGTGATTCTGTCAGAAAATTGATAAGATCATTTTTGCACCATCCTCAAAATTTTTTTCCAACGTAATGTAAAAAATCAGCAAAATTATTTGTTCTAAAGACATTATTTGGAAAAGTTTTGTGGAATTCGTATAAAAGAAGATGAATTTCATTTGGAAAAATTTTCGTGATGTGATCTGTTTCTATTAGAAAATTTTCTATTGAGAAGAGTCTATTCTATGAAAATTTGGGAATTTCATTTCGCGATATGTGGAAAAAGTGATGATCAGATTTAGAGAATCTTATTTAGTTCACTATTGAAAATGGTTTTTTGGTGGTAAAAATTGATTGATTGTGCGATAGTGTGATAGTGTGGAAACGATTGGACGATTCGAAAGGATCGATTCGATTGGTGAATCGTGACTTTGGACTGCAATAGGGAGATTTGTGCAAGGATTTGGATTGTGTAAATGTCAGGGATCGGAAAAATATCGGAGACTTTTTCGTATTGATCTGTCACGAAAGTGCATCGGGTTTTCATTTTAAAATGAAACTACATTTTTATTTTGATAGACATGTTTGATGTGAAAATGGACGAATTTTTTTTAGGAGAAATTTTACCAATGAATGAAATATATAGCACGTTAAATTATTTTCTAAATTAATTAAATTTCTTATATAAAGTTCTGTTCATTTTGTGTGTCTAATCTAAAATCTCAGAAGAAATTCAAGAAAAATCAAGTTTCATGAATATATATAATAAATATATAAAGATATATGCATTCGAATAATTTAGATTCGAATTTAAATCAATTTTAAAATCAATAATCATTAACAAAAACTCTATATTCAAATTATTTTCACAAGATCGATAAGGTGTGTTCAGTGAGATATGTTTTAGATTACATCTATTATTGAGAATTCGTGGAAAAACTAGTAAGGATGTGCAACGAGTCCATTAAGCGAAATCGGTCGTTTCCATCTTTCTCGTTCCACCCTAGCTCGTTGTGTACACGTGCTGTACATTTTCTGCCTTTTGTCTGTCACGTGCCGTTTTAATATCCGTCAGCCATTGTCCCGCGATACGTCTCTTTGCGATCGAGTCGATAGTGTGACAACAATTTTTCGAATATAAGTCGATTGCCATTCCACCAGAATTTTCAAAATGAAATTTTATCAAATTAATTAATTTTATTAAACAAAAGAATAAATAAAATTCGATTAATATAAAAATTTCCTTCCAATTTTCCAATTTTCACTCTTTGGAAATTAAGAATAATTTTAAATCGCGTTTAAAATTCTAAAAAATTAACATTTAAAAATTTATACTAATAATTTTTAATCTTTATTATTTAATATGAATAATATAAATAATAAAATTAATTTTTAAGTTTATATTTAAAATTTTTATTATTTATATTAAAAATATAAAGTATTAAAATTTAATTATAGGATTGGTTATTTAGATTTATTATGTAATAAAAAGAAAATATAAAGTATTAAAATTTAATTATAGGATTGATTATTTAGATTTATTATATAATAAAAAGAAAATATGATACCTTTAAAATTTGTAATTCAATGATTTGAAATATTACATAAAAAAGTAAAGTGGTACCAATTTTTAAAATAAGAAATCGATTTAAATATTAATTAAATATTAATTAAAAATTAATTTCGTCCACATTTATCTATATTGTCTCTAATTTTTTTAATTCAATTATTATTATTATTATAAGATTAGATTTTCAAAATTGAACGATATATGTAAATTTCTCGAATATTTTATATCGAAATTCTTGATATATCGCACGATGTTTGGACGAGAGAAGTTTAAGGGAAAAATACGAGTCGAGAGAGGAGGTGGTTTCTTCTCGCATTTTTCTACCCTCTGGAGACGTTCCCCGGAGAGTTGGAGGATTAGGGTTGGAGAGACTGCCACTCCAAACAAACACCCCTACTACGGGGTCTCCCCTTGCACCTCAATATCGAGAAGAAACGTCCTCACACAAGTATACCTTGGTTTCGAAGATGCGAGGGTTTAAAGATTTAATATCGTTTAATTTAAAGATTTTATATCGAATGAGTGGTAATTGTTTGAATTGCTCGTGGACGATTATAAGAAGTAGGATTAAACGTTTCTTCCATTTATTTCTGTGAAAATAACAAGTGAAAAAGATGACTTGATTGTTCCAAATAAAATAGAAAATAATTTTGGAAACAAATTACAATGAGTTAATTGTAAGTATTTAGTAGTATTTTCATATGATTATAAAAATTTGATATTGTGTAAATAAAATGTAGAATCTGATAAAAAATGTGATTCATTGAAAAATAGGTATGTATAGATACT